CTTCTATGGGGAGAGGTGCTGCTGTGCCCGGGTCCTGCTTGTAGGCCTCCCACCAGGTCAACTGGGTGGCCAGCGTGAGGACAGGATGCTGGGCGAGATGGGCTATGGGCCTCATCCTGCCAGGATCTTCGGGGCTATGCTAGATGGACCAACGGCCTCACTTGGTGTGATGGCCTGGGACTCGGAAGCAGAGGAGACTCAATTTGCACTGGATCCTTTGCCTTGGGCATCATCTGAACCAAGTCTGGGGCCTGATCCTGAAGAGTCCCAGTCTGCACAGGTTCCCCTGCAACAAACACCCGCTGGACCGAGTCAAGGGCCTGATCCTGCCCTGGTTACAGATGCGGGGATTACCTTGCTGCCTTCAGCTGGGCCATCACTTACAGCTGCTCCACTACCGGTTGGGTCAGGGGAGGCTGAGGCGGCCCCTGGGTCTAGTCACCCACTGACGTCTCCTGAGCTGCAGAGACTGAGGTCTGAGAGAATGAGAGACCTGAGCACTCACAGGAGGAGTGCTTGCCTTCGGGTGAAACAGGGAGGTGAGTCACCGGGGGATGAGGACCGGCTGTTACCCCGACAAAGATAAAAGGCTGTCAGACCCCACCCCAGGTTACAGGAGCAACACTGTGGTATGCCAGACCCTGCCTGAGATCCTGTACCTTTCTTGCCTGGTTTCCTGCCTCGTGTCCTGCCTTGGCCCTGTCGGACTGACTCCTAGCGGAACCTTTGGATTCTGGACCGGTCCTGGACTGCGTTGCATGGGTTACCACAGAGAAACCATGCACCTTGCGCCCCTCCTAGGCAACTGTGCACCACCCACCTGTGACTCCCGAGCCTCCCCCGATCTCCTGCGCCCTTCGTTTTGAGAATTTCACAGGGTGCGAAAAAAGAGCTTTGCACCTTGCCCAGCAGAGAAACCGCACACCTTGCGCCCCTTCTGGGCAACGTCCACCCACCTGCAATCTCTCAAAGCGAAGGGGAAAGGGGCAGGAGAGTGGGGGAGGCTCAGGAGTCACAGGCGGGTGGTGCGCCGTTGCCCAGGAGGGGCACAAGGCACACAGTTTCTCTGCCGGGCAAGGTGCAAAACCCTTGTTTCACACGCTTCGATCCCCCACCCAAGTTTTGCCTGTGCAAAGACTACCTTCCCACCCCTCAAGCTGCATGTTACTCCAGGAGAGAAGGGTGTCCCATTTCTCAGGGACATTTAATGAAATCCGGGGACATTCCAGGGATGGAATTTGTCCGGGGACAGATTTGCAAATCCGGGGACTGTCCCCGGGAAACGGGGACATCAGGTAACCCTACTTTACTCACACTGTCAGCAGCCCTGCAGAATCTCTACGGCGAAAGGTTAATCCGGACACTGAAGTCCAGCGCCAAGGACCTTCTGGCAGTTCCCTCAATGCAAGAAGCCAAGTTACAGGGAACCAGGCAGAGGGCCTTCTCGGTAGTGGCACCCGCCCTGTGGAACGCCCTCCCACCAGATGTCAAAGAGAAGAACAACTACCAGACTTTTAGAAGACATCTGAAGGCAGCCCTGTTCAGGGAAGCTTTTAATGCTTAATAGGTTATTGTATTTTAGTGTTCTGTTGGAAGCCGCCCAGAGTGGCTGGGGAAACCCAGGCAGATGGGCGGCGTATAAATAATAAATTATTATTATTATTATTCATCCCGGAGCTGCTCCTGGAGATCCTTTGTGGTGATCATTTGCCAGGGACTGGACTGGGGATCTTCTGTGAGCGAAACAGGCACTTCACCACCAGCAGCTTAGGAGCCCATGTGATAGCCACCATCTCCAGCGCAGGAAAGCTGAATCACAAGGAGCTTCTTAAACCAGCACATGACTATCCCCTGATGGTTGTTACTGCCTTGGCGGAGAGGAGAGGCATGCCGCAGCCAGATGAACTTCCTTTCCGTAATGAGAAGCACCAAGTTTCTAGTCCAGCCTTAGCCAACCTGCTGCCCTCCAGATATAAGCAGCGGTGCAATATCATTGCCCCCCAAACTCAGAATTCAGATCTGTTTATTTTCTTTATTCGTAAAAATATTTATCTACGGCAGTATCATAAAAACATAACACAGTGGTTTATGACATTATACAAGCAAACAGCAACAGCATAACAAGTTAAAAAGTAGGTTAAAAGCAAAAATAAATTAAAAGCAAACATCAATGGACCATTGTGGGAGAGATGCACGCTGAATTTCCTATGTAGGCCTGGTGCAACAGAAAAGTTTTCTGTAGGCATTTAAAAGCTGGCACAGAAGGTGCCTGCTATGGATCAATGTGAATTTATTTGCACAGGTATCGTATAGGTGGTTGCAACAGTGTTTTGCTTGACAAGCACGCCAGTCTCACCATAAAAAGAATATAGCATTAGCTACGTCTCCCAGTTTGGTGTCATCTGCATATCTGATGATCATCCGCTCAATTCCTTCATCCAAGTTGTTTGCAAAGATGTTGAGCAACAACGGGCCCAGGAACGAAACCCTGTGACATCCCCCAGGATGACAAGGAACCATTAGTGAACACTCTTTGGGTTCCTCCACTAAATCCACCTAACCGTTAAACTATGGAACTCCCTCCCACAGGAGACAGGGATGGCCATTGTAATAAACGAAAATCTGCCCTTATTCCCTTATGGAAGACACAAGAGCCCACATAGAGTCCTTTGTAGGTTCTCCATCGGTAGGAGCAAATAACAGAGGCCAACCAGAGAATATTGAGAAGCAAAGCAGCTAGTAAGCCTGATCTTTATTGAACTGTTGCAACAGGGTGATCCCCTCACACACAGGAAAAGAGGAGGACCCAGAACCAAGGTGTGCCTGCCCTTATATAGACATTTTAAATTGCCCGCCCTGGAGTCCAAGACCACCCCCAGAAACATCATACGTGCATCACAGAAAAGGCGGTCTACAACAGAAGTTGTTTACCTCCTGGCTAGCAGATTACCCATTAATGCTCACTTGATTGAATACCCTGGGGAGCTTGGCCAGTCTTTTGTAATGATAAATACTTCATTCCTGAGCCAGGTCACAGGCTCACCCTATTCATACACAGACATATCCTCAAGACAGGATTTGTGAATGAAAAGACAATAGGAAGGCTTTTCCATTTTCCTTTGACTTTGCAGAGAAAACATTTGGTCAGTTTGGGAGTCAAAAGGGCTTCATGGCTGTTTTCCTGTGCTGCTTCAGACATGTGGTTTATATATTTATGTACGTGTTTGCTTGGTACATTTATGAACATTTATTATATATATAAGACCTTAATTTTTTTATTTCAGCCACATACCTGGATGGCTTTAAAAGAGAACTAGACCAATTCGTGGAGAGAGCTATTGATGGCTACTAGCCAGGATGCCTATGCTGTGCCTCCACAGCTGGAGGCAGGAATGCTTCTGAATGCCAGTTGCTGGAAACTCCAGGATTGTGTTCGAATCCTGCTTGCTGGTTTCCCATTGGGGCATCTGCTTGGCCACTGTGAGAACAGGTTGCTGGACTAGATGGGCTTTTGGCCTGACCCAACAGCCAGCTCTTATGTTATGCCTTTGCTATGAGTGTCCTGGTGTCCCCGGGACGTGGGTGGCGCTGTGGTCTAAACCAATGAGCCTCTTGGGCTTGCCAATCAGAAGGTCGGCGGTTCGATTCCCTGCGATGGAGTGAGCTCCCGTTGCTCGGTCCCAGCTCCTGCCAACCTAGCAGTTCGAAAGCAGGCCAGTGTGTCAGGAGCAGTGTGTCAGCAGCAGCCGGGCCCTGTGACCAATAGGACTTTGCAGGACTGGGGCTTTCCTAAGTTTGTTCTCAAAAGGCAAGGTGCTGCCACACAGGTGAGGCCAATTGGTAACTCACAGCACCTGGTGGCAAGAGCCAGGAAGGGATAAAAGGTCAGCATTTCCCTTTGGCTCTTTGCCACAGCAACACGCTTCCTGCCTTGCTGGGTTTGGCTTCTTGGTTCCTGATCTTCGGACCCCTGACTTCTTGACTCCTTGCTTCCTGACCCTTGGCTTTTTCACTCCCTGCTTCCTGATCTTCGGACCCTTGGCTTCTTGGCTCCTTGCTTCCTGACCCTCGGCTTCTTGACTCCCAGCTCTCGGACCCTCGGCTTCTTCACTCCCTGCTTCCTGATCTTCGGACCCTTGGCTTCTTGGCTCCTTGCTTCCTGGCCCTTGGACCCCTGACTCCTTGACTCCTTGCTTCCTGACCATCGAACCCTTGGCTTCTTGACTCCCGGCTCTCTGACCCTCGGACTCTGGGCTTCCTTACTCCTGGCTTCCGGACACTTGTTCTTGCTCCAACCCAGCCATCTTGCCCCTGGTCCCGATGTTCTCTGCCAGGACTTCGACCTCCCGTAACACAGTGCAAGTAGATAAATAGGTACTGCTGTGGCAGGAAGGTAAACGGCATTTATGTGTGCTCTGGCAACTGTCACAGTCCTCTGTGCACCAGAAGCGGTTTAGTCCTGCTGGCCACTTGACCCGGAAAGCTGTCTGTGGACAAACGCCGGCTCCCTCGGCCTGAAAGCGAGATGAGCGCCACAACCCCATAGTCACCTTTGACTGGACTTAACCTTTTTTACCTTGCTGGTGTCCCCAACGTGGCATTGGTGGGAAAGGGCTGCAACACAACGGATTCTCCTGCAGGATACAAGAGAGGGCAGCTAATTCCCCCATCATGGGTTTATCATAGGACCTCCCGTCTGCCTTGGGCCCACGGGACGTCCTGGCTGCATCCCAAAGAGGAGATAAGGCCCTGGGTGGCTTCTGTGAAGGAAAGCCCAAAGGGGGAAAGATCCACGCCTTCCCTTCCAGCTTTCACTCTGCAGTTCTGCAGCCAATGGCCAGCCCCCTGGGGAAAACAAAGCCTTCTCTGTGCATATAAAAAGCTGGCTTCCTGGGCTTTAGAAGCAGTGGGGGAAGGTTGTGGTCAGGTGTCCAGAGGGAAAGCTCTCCAGCGCAGATCTCCATCCTCGCTTCAGAGTCTGCGTTCATCTGCAGTCCAGGATGCAACCCACCGAAAACTTCAGGTAAGCACAAACCAGGAATCTCCTCTCCTCTCTAGACTCCTTCACACTTATTGGGATTTTTGGTGCTGCTTACGCATGCACCTCTCAGGTTTCCACCTCTTGAAAATGCGATCACATTCGCTGCTAAAATTTACTTTTCCCACTTTTAAAAAATAAATAAAAAATCTTACCATATGTTCTCTGGGAATACAAATCCAGATTAAATGGGGAAATATGTGACAGCATCTTGATGAGCGGTGGCGTGGTGTGGGTCCTGCAATAGAAAATCAAGTATTGCAAGCCTGAGAGACGGATCCGTTTTAGCATTTAAATCACCAGGGGACATGGTGTTTAAAGTGCGTCTCCAGAAGGCCCCTCGCTGTGTGAGCAACAGCCTTTAAAGATATCCTTTTATAAGGTCTTGTATGGAAACTTTCAGCTGCAAAAAGAAAAATTGAAAATAATATATTTTTAAATGCTTATATTGAAATAAAAAAAATTAAGGTCTTATATATATAATAAATGTGCCAGGCAAACACGTACATAAATGTATGGGCCACATGTCTGAGGTAGTACAGGAGGGCAGCCATGGATCCATTTTGGCTCCCAAGCTGACCAAATGTTTTCTCTGCAAGGTCAAAGGAAAATGGAAAAGCCTCCCCATTGTCTTTTCCTTCACAAATCCTGTCTTAAGGGGTTTGTTGTTTGTTGTTAGCCGCCCTGAGCCTGGCTTTGGCTGGGGAGGGCGGGATATAAATAAAATTTATTATTATTATTATTATTATTATTATTTTCTGTGTTTGAATAGGGTGAGCCTGTGACCTGGCTCAGGAACTAAGTATTTATCATTACAAAAGACTGGCATTAAGTGAGCATTAACAGGTAACCTGTCAGGCGAGATAAACAACACACTCAGATTTCTGCTGTAGACCGCCTTTTCTGTGATGTAGGTATGATGTATCTGGGGGGTGGTCTTGAGCTCCAGGACAGGGAATTTAAAATGTCTATATAAGGGCAGGCACACCTTGGTTCTGGGTTCCTCCTCCTTTCCTGCGTGTGAGGGGAGCACCCTGTTGCAACAGATCAATAAAGATCAGGCTTACTAGCTGCCTTGCTTCTCAATATACTCCAGTTGGCCTCTGTTATTTTCTCCTACCAATAGGGAACCTACATAAGGACTCTAAATGGGCTCTTGGATACCCCATAAGGGAAAAGGGGCAGATTTTTTTGTTTACAACACCAACAGGTGAGGAAAGGGCCAAAGCCAATTTATAGAGAAAACATTTGTCAGTTTGGGAATCAAAAATGGTTTCAGGTCGGTCTTCCTGTGCTGATCTATGCACGTGCTTGGTTGGTACATTTATGAGCTTTTACTATATATCTAAGACCTTAAAATTCTTATCACATTGGAAACAGATTCCACGGCTGACCATCCCTACCTCTGGGGTTGGGCTAGATGACCCTCAGGGTCCCGTCCAACCCGGCACTCCTATGATTCTGATTCAACCTTTCTGCCCTTCTTTTCCAATCTCTTTGCAGCTTTGAGCTCTGCAGAGAGACGGCCGACTGGCTCCTGGCTCGGACCAGGCAGCGCCCCAGAATCGCCATTATCTGTGGCTCTGGACTGGGACCCCTCGCTGACAGTTTGAAGAACCCGGAGTCTTTCAAGTACATGGACATCCCCAACTTCCCGCACAGCACAGGTATGGAGAACATAGCTGTCAACCATCCCTTATTTGGCGGGAAAGTCCCTTATCCCAGCGCTGTGTCCTGCTGCTGTCCCTTGTTGATGATGTCCCTTAAATTTTCCGGGTTTCAAAGGAAGCAGCTCCTCTCCCTCCCTCCCTGCCGGCCAGGGAGGAGGGAGGCTCCAACTGTGTTGCTTGGCTGCGTTGCTCACCCAATAAGGAGTCTGAGAACGACTGGGGGGTGGAGCTTGCATGCCTTGTGCCGATCAAATCGGCTGCGTTGCCTGGGGACTCGCCTTTGCTCAGCGCGTCCCAGCGGAGAGGTGACGGTGGTTTTCCTTGCTGCATCCCCTTTGCCGGGTTGCTGCGCTGTGGGAACCACCGCTTGAGGCTTCGTTTGGCTGCTGGCTGGGCTTTCTGCCTTTGGCTTGGAGGGGCTCAGAAGTTGAACATACCTGTGCTTGGAAAAGCCCTTATTTTGGCTGCTGATCCCTTATTTTCAAGGTTGCTGGCCCCTTATTTTCAAATCTGTAAGTTGACAGCTATGATGGAGAACTATCCTTGTTGCGTGCCGCTGCTCTGCAATTCCTCCCAGGGTCTTTTCACGCCGTCCTGGGGCCTCGGGTCTGCTTCCTCGCTGGCCAGCCAGAACTGATTGTGCATGAATTGTGCAGATTGTGATCTGATTTCTTTCCGCAGGGCCTGTAAGACAGAGTTGTTCCGCCTGGCCTTTGGCTTGGAGTCAATTTGATTCCCTTCCTCTTTCTTTTTTCCTTTCTCCTCCTGTGATGAGGCTGCATTTTAATGTTGTGTTTTAATCTTGTTTTTAAGTTGTATTCATTCAACTTGTTTTTATTATTGGTTGTTAGCCGCCCTGAGCCCGGCTTTGGCTGGGGAGGGCGGGGTATAAATAAAATTATTATTATTATTATTATTATTATTATTGTTAAGCAGAAAAAACTGCAACAAGAGATCAGCTCCATGTTTTGGGGCCGGGTGGGCTGTCGGCTTAGCTTGAGGGCATTTTCACCCAGGGTGCTAAAATCCCGCTTTCCATTTCTCAAGCCTTGCATGTGAATGGGAAACCCATCATAGCAAGGATCTACCTCTGAGTTAAAAATAGTGGTATCTGGCTACCCTCTTGTGGTGAAATGGACACATCTGCACTTTTATGATGATGAATGGCAGAGTGCATGTGAATTTTCCTACCTGGTAGTGCAAAAGCTGTGTAGGTAACTGGAGGGTTTGTGTGTTTAGAGAGAGAGAAAGAGTTTGGATTTGATATCCCGATTTATCACTACTCGAAGGAGTCTCAAAGCAGCTAACATTCTCCTTTTCCCTTCCTCCCCCACAACAAACACTCTGTGAGGTGAGTGGGGCTGAGAGACTTCAGAGAAGTGTGTCTAGCCCAAGGTCACCCAGCAGCTGCAGGTGGAGGAGCAGAGACGCGAACCCGGTTCACCAGATTACGAGTCTACCGCTCTTAACCACTACACCACACACTCTGAGATTATGTTAGGAACCTAGGCTCATATTGTGCATTGATGAATTCATCTGGGTCCAAGAGCTTTCCTTGTCATTCCATAGCTGTGCCTTGTGAAAACCTGATCTAACCCACTGGATTGAAGCTCAGTTAAGCAAATATCTCTTAGGATTGTCCACGCATAAAATCCAATCCAGTGGGTAAGTTTGGATTTTTGCAAAGCAGAGGCACAGAACAATAGGAAACTCTCTCAGACCCGGAGGAATTAATTGGTGCACAAAACAATTGAAATTTGGGTCAAGCAAAATTGTGGCCAAGCCCTTGCACTCCAAGGTGTTAGCATTCTCAGCCCATCCAGGAGACACTGGGAATTCAACCTGGCATTTTCTGCTCTTCCACTGAGCCCTTCGCTCAATGGACTTCAATGGACTTTGAATAAATGTGCAATTAGTTTTCTTGTTTTGAATTCTGTTGCATTATTGTCTTCCTGAGTGGTTCGTGCAAACCACTGTTCTGAACAATGCTGAATGAAGGGCAGGTGGCCTTGGGGATGAGTTTATGGAACCAAGGGGGCGCTGGCCCAACAATGTTTGGGAACCACTGGTTTAATAAACACTGGCTTAGTTGCATGCAGTGTGCTGGGTCTCTCTTTTCCTCCTTAATAAATAATAATAATTTTTTATTTATACCTGACCCTTCAGAAAATTAGGCTACAGGCAGCTAACAACAGAAGTCTAAATTAACACTTGCTTGTACTACAGCATAAGAAATAGCACCTATTAGGATACTCGAACCATACTAAGACATCAAGCAGTTGGTACCTTACCTTTTGAACTTCTGTTCTGGTTACAATGATCCATTGACGTCATCCTACAGGAATGACTACTATAATCCTTAGCTGTCACGTGGGCTATTATTTTAGCTGTCCCAGGAACTCCAGTCGGTGCAGAACCTGCCCTCGCTCCCCACTGCTTCCCTTCACCTGTGTGAGATCTTCCCATCATAATATTTTTATCTAGTTGCTTTAACAAATAGGACTAACTATGGAAACTGGTTAAATTATAATGACTTCTGTTGTCCTTACACGCTTAACAATTGCCCATTAAGAGTTCTGCTTTAACGACCATATTTCTTCATGTATTCCCCTATGTATTCCTAGGTCCATGTAGAATCTTTGCTTGGAGCAGTCCCTGATTCCTGCAGTCAGTTTATGCCATCTCTGCAGACCCAGACATCTTAGCTGGTGCCATTCTGTCATCTGGTGGTACTGTTTCTGTTTTCCAGGATACTTTGGCCATACAGTATTAACTTCCTGCTGCCGGGTCTATATACAAGAGTATATTCCGCTTGGCCTTGGTGTAATGTCAGCTTGATCTAATAAACTCACTACGTATGAGTCCCTCGGCTTTTTATGAAAATCAGCCACTCTGAGGCTCTCAGTTGATTCTCCTCATGTACCTCCTGCTGGCCAAAATTGATCAATTCAGCCAGCTTACACCCCGAACCATCATAATGCGTATTAGATGGATTTCCTAATTTGATACTCTGATCTTCCTGAGTTTCATTGAAATCCATGTGCTCAGACTGTATTCTATACAGCAAATTTATAAACCAGCTTATGACTGTGAATAGCAACAATAGAAGCAGCACCTTGAGGATCTCTAGCCATCGCCGAGATGCGAGTCTCAGTTCTGCTTCTGGTGGACCTCCTAGGAAGGACCACGATTGGGAGAAGGGGCCTCCAAGGACATTTGGGGCATGTTAACCTTCTCTTTCTGCTCTCTTCCTCTCTCCACAGTGTCGGGCCATGACGGGCAGCTTCTCTTTGGGGAGCTGCACGGCAAGCCGTGCGTCTGCATGAAGGGCGCTTCCACATGTACGAGGGCTACCCGCTTTGGAAGGTAGGCAGAAGGCCTACGGTGCCCAAAGTGTTACTCAAGTGATGGGCGCCAACTTGGATGGCTTTAAAAATGGGCAGCAGGCCTGATCCAGCTGCCGGGCTCTTCTCACCCTCGTACGGAGAGAAGGGACAGCTCCCCGCCTCTGATGTAAACGTCCCTCTGCTCTGCGCTCTCTGCCAGGTCACGTTCCCGATCCGCGTTCTCAAACTCTTGGGCGTTGAGACGCTGCTCGTGACCAACGCAGCCGGGGCCTTGGCGGATTCGTACAGCGTCGGGGACCTCATGATTATTCGGGACCACATCAACCTGCTGGGCTTGGCTGGGCTAAACCCCTTACTGGGGCCCAATGAGGAAAGGTGAGTACAGGACTTCTGGTTGGCTGCCCGATTAATGGCAGACGGGAGCTTTTTCGGCTGAAAGAGCCCCGGCGCTTTGAAGATTGGGGTGACATGCAGAGGAGCTCTTTGCATGAGCATGGGGTTCTGGATAGTCTTTTTCTGGCTCTCAGAGCTACCCAAATCACATTCCCTCTTCCCAGGCCACACCTCTTACCAGATCTGCTTCACATTCCCCCAATGTTTCAGGATAGCTGTAATGTCCTTAATCCCCTGATAGTTGTAAGAATGGAATGAACACACACACACATACTGTATTTTAGGCCGTTTTTTGTTCCATCAATTAAGTGTTTTAAATTTGTTGTTGGCTGCCCTGAGCCCGGTTTTCTGAACCGGGAAGGGCGGGGTATAAATAAAAAATTATTTATTATATTATTTCTTACACACACCCAATGCAGTTATTTGTGCATTAATAACAAAAATAAAACATTTACTTCCCTTCTATATTTTATTATTTCTATTTATTGAATTTATATACCTCCCTATACTCGGATGTCCCAGGGAGGTTCACAGGATAAAATCGGAATATAAAACCACAAAGTACATAGTCAAAATAAAAATGACAACAACCCAATAGCCCTGCCCCGCACATTTTTAAAGGGCATAGTGTTACGGTAAAATCTGGGTGCGAGGCTGCTCTGCCACCCAGCTCGTCGGACTAAGTCCACGGGTCCCTGCGGAGGAAAATGAGCTCAGCTGGAGACAGAAGCAAGCTGCAGAAGATCCAAGTTTATTGTGCAACAGGTTCAAGGCGAGATTGAACAGCGAGAAAGGGGTGACATGAACTTTTAAAACTTCCCTCCATGTCCCAGAATACAGTGCAAAATACATCAGTTACATCATGAATACATTAACAAGAGGTTGGGTTACACAGATTAACATATGGAGGAGGGAGGGGGGACTATGCAGAGCTGGAGATATGCGCGGATAAGCACATCCTGAGTACCGGTGATGAGAAGACAATGGTCCATGTATGCATAGTCTGCCACCTGGCATTGCCCGGAGGAAAGGCTTGGCAGAGTGATTTGACAGGATTAGAGTCTTCCTGAGAGTACGTGACACCTCGCTTGAGGGATTATGGAGGACAGGGGAGGTGTCATGGAGTCCTAAAGAAACTGAGTCGATTGGCACCGAAAGCAAGAAAATCGGTGCTGTGGTTGATTTTATATGAATTTTTAAAGATTTTAGTTCATTTTATATTGGTAATTGAGATCGGAAACAAAATGGATACATTGTAGCAAGATTTGACACTTTTATGAGTTCACAAGTTTCGGTTCCATTGTTCTCCCAGCGGGGAGCCGTCAGCAGCTTGTGAAGAGGTTAAATGAAGCGTGCAGGAGCTTGCTGAGCTAGCTCTGCAAAATGAATGCATGGTTCTGATTGGGTAGAACGCACCCATTCAACAGATAGGGAATCCAACTTTACACGGTCTACCCATAATAGAACTAGAGCGGGAGGGAAGGCATAACATGTTTGGGCTTATTTCGCCCGTAATAGCGAATCATCGTAAGGAAGGGGGGGAAGACACTTTATTTATGGGGCTTGGGGTAAAGTGTGGTGCTTGTGCAACGGTGTGGGGGCTGAGGGGTCCATGTGGGGCTGGGTGCCCTTGAGGTCATCGCCTCGGACCCTCTGGTGACCGGCGGAAGGGGTGAAGAAGGCATGCCCCCCCCTTCCGTATCACATAGGCTGTAGGTTAAAAACAGTTAAAACACTTTAAAAAAAAGTTTTTAAGATATTAAAGAAAAATGAATTAAAATCAATTTAACAGAAGAAGCAGTATACTCTGCTGGGCTGTTGCATGGTTCCCTCCAAGTTACCAATTACTGCTGCATACTGTAATCAAACCACACCTTCTTTTTCTCAGTTTACTCAGTGTAACCTTTACAACTGAATTTAAGCCTACTAGCAAGTTAACTCGTTTACAGTCATTCTTCATATGCTCTACATTTTCCAATCCTCCTTACATATTGTTTGATCTTGATCTCTGGTTCTGCTGGTTAGATTTCCTAATTCTGCAGACTCCATCAACTTCAGCTGGTCCTTCGTGGGAATTGCTCCTTCCCTCCATTTTTGAGCATATTGGATTCAGGATGCAATAGTTGCATACCAAAACAAATTCTGCTAATTCTTTGGGACACTAGGGGAGGATATATCATTTCGTTATTATCCTTCCTCATGAGATCAGCAGTCCTTTCCTGCCTAAACTTGGACATGAGTCACAAAGAGGCTTACAAACTATAATAAAAAAAATTAATATAACAGGACATCACAATTACAACGTAAATCATACAGAAAAATTAACAAATCACCAGCAAAACAATTACAGTAAAACAACCACCTTCTATAAAACACTAATAACGGAACAACAAACAGAAAAGCTAAATAGCATAACCCCAACAAAAGTCCTAAGATTCACAAAGCGCTTCAGCAAAACAATATTAACAGCTCATCTTCCTTTTTCTCTTTTTCTCTCCCCCCCTTTTTTCTTTTTTCTTCACCCTCCTCCTTTCCTTTTTCCTTTTTCTTTCCCATAATGGCTTATGTTCCATGCCATGTGCTTTGATATTTTTTGTAGTTTTTTAGCTTATTATTAAGGAATTTTCTTTGGTGGTTTTGGTTGTCTATATTTATCTGTATTTGTTTAAAGCAAAATAAAAGTGTTAAAAAAACAACAATATTAACAGCATTAACAACCCAAAACAAACTAAGCACTGTTGAATTGGCACACACACTCTCCCCTCTGTGAATCACAGCCTCCCACTCAGTTCATCAAAAAAAGCATAGGCATAATGCCCGTGACAGCAACTCCCTTCTGAAGGCAAGGCTGGTGGGGAATGCCATTGCCTGATGCTCAGCATAAACATCCAATTCCCCTTGTCACAGCAGCCTCTGGAAGGGATATATCTGGTACATCTGCCTACCTCCTGGCTGGCTGGCACGAGTGGCTGCCTATCTGCTTGGCCCTGGCACTAAGCCACCATACCTAGAATCATAGAATCATAGAGTTGGAAGAGACCACAAGGGCCATCGAGTCCAACCCCCTGCCAAGCAGGAAACACCATCAGAGCACTCCTGACATATGGTTGTCAAGCCTCTGCTTAAAGACCTCCAAAGAAGGAGACTCCACCACACTCCTTGGCAGCAAATTCCACTGTCAAACAGCTCTTACTGTCAGGAAGTTCTTCCTAATGTTTAGGTGGAATCTTCTTTCTTGTAGTTTGGATCCATTGCTCCGTGTCCGCTTCTCTGGAGCAGCAGAAAACAACCTTTCTCCCTCCTCTATGTGACATCCTTTTATATATTTGAACATGGCTATCATATCACCCCTTAACCTCCTCTTCTCCAGGCTAAACATGCCCAGCTCCCTTAGCTGTTCCTCATAAGGCATCGTTTCCAGGCCTTTGACCATTTTGGTTGCCCTCCTCTGGACACGTTCCAGTTTGTCAGTGTCCTCCTTGAACTGTGGTGCCCAGAACTGGACACAGTACTCCAGGTGAGGTCTGACCAGAGCAGAATACAGTGGCACTATTGGATTCAGGATGCAACCTGTTTCCTCCCTGCTCAGAGCACCCCCTTCTTTCTCCAGGTTCGGACCTCGCTTCCCTGCACTTTCGGATGCGTATGACAGCCAGATCCGCGCTTTGGCTATGGACACAGCCCGGCACCTTGGCTACAGCTCTTTCGTCAAAGAGGGGGTGTATTGCATGGTCGGGGGCCCCAGTTTCGAATCGATCGCAGAGGCCCGCCTCCTTCATGTGCTGGGGGCGGACGCTGTAGGTAAGAGCTGGAAGGAAGCTGCGTCTCTTCGCCTCCGGTAACCCTTGGCCTTGTTCTGACCCGCTAAATTGCCTTCTTCCCTATGGCCAGTCTTTGCCAATCCGGTACCCTCCAGCTGTTCTGGACTACAACTCCCATCAGCCCCAGCCAGAGGCCAAAACCTCTGGAGAGCACCAGGTTGGCAAAGCCTGCCATGGGCTTTATGCATCTTGTTAATAGCACTAATTGGGTTGCAAAGTTTTATATTTTGCAGGTAATAATAATAATAAAATTTATTTATACCCCGTCCTCTCCGGCCAGAGCCGGGCTCAGGGCGGCTAACACCAATAAAATCACAGTAAAAACATAATAGTAGAAAAAGAGATGCGGGGGGGGGGGGGACCAGTTTAAAATACAGGTTAAAATGCAATTAAAATGCAGCCTCATTTTAAAGTAGCCGATAAATCAAGACCATAAGGGGAGGGAAACGTAAGGGTCAGACCAAGTCCAAACCAAAGGCCAGGCAGAACAGCTCTGTCTTGCAGGCCCTGCAGGAAGATGTCAAGTACCGCAGGGCCCTAGTCTCTTGTAACAGAGTGTTGCACCACATCGGGGCCAGTGCTGAAAAGGCTCTGGCCCTAGTTGAGACCAGTCTAACCTCCTTGAGGCTTGGGACCTCCAAAGTGTTGTTATTTGTGGACCTTAAGGTCCTCCACATGGCATACGAGGAGAGGCGGTCCCATAGGTACGTGGGTCCTAGGCCTAGTTGCCATGGAGGGGGGATTTTTTAGCAAGCGCCTGCACTCATTGTTTAATTCTACAGGTTAGCCCCCTGCCCCCACTACATGAATCCCACTTGCATGCAACTGAATTTACATGGGTCACTACGAAATAGATTGGCATTCCCTTGCTCAGGGCCCGGAATGTAACCCCCACATAACTGGGAGGCAGGGATGCTTGTATTTGCAAAAAAATAACTTCTAGAGAGTACCTGATCTCAGACAAATGCACCACAGGAAAGAGGCATCTGGGTTGCTCGGGGGCAAAGAGGGCAAACTAGAGATTTCAAGGACTGCTAGAAAATAAGAAAGAAGTGCACTGAAGGGGAGGAGAAACCAGAAGCTTTATAGGACCTCAGGGATTTTTATTGCCTGGTGTCCAAACAACTCACTTAACCATCAATCACAGCTCTGACTTCACTCATTGGCTAAAATCACTGATAGGCGGGAGCATCCAGGCTGGCTCATTTAACAAGAATCGCTTAGACATGTACCTGGGCATTTAGCTTCATATCTTTCTTTGCAAGAGAGCTAAATATTTCCTTTAACAAAATATGAAAGTTCTGAGTATGAAGTCTTTGCCGGGGGGGCCAATGGCACCAGGCTGACAACTCCTGAGCCAAACTCTTCTTATGCAGAGGTGTAACTTCTTGTTGTGAGTCCTGCACCAAGCTTACACGAGATTGCGCTGTTGTAGGAATTTATGTATAGGGTGGGTGGGGGGTTGCCCCTCCAGCAGATATCATGCACATGCAGCCCACTATCAAAATCAACACAATCGCTTTTGTGACTTGTCCCCACAAAACACTTCATCGCAGTTTCTTCCTATCTATTCAAAGGGCCTTTGCTGCACGATACCAAATGTAAGAATTCACTGATAAATGGATCTATGTACTGGCTCACAGGGAAAACTTCAGAAATTCATATAGACATGTGAGCTCAGCTGCTCAGCAGCCCCTCTGCCTGAGTGATAATCCCTGGCATCCTGATACCTGAGTGCCAGACAGGTAGCCATTCCAGAAATAACAAACCCAGATGAAGGCAAAAGGGTGTGATTATCTTGGCTGGGAAATAGGGAAATGTAAATATCTCTTTTGTTACACTTGATGGGTGTTTGGTGGAGGGCAAGGAGAACCAGGGGGCAGGGTCCAGGATGCTCAGATTACTGCCACCAGACCTCCCCTTTCATGATGTAAGTGTGATGTATAAGTGATGTAGTTTGGGCGGGGTGTAACATGGGGATTAGCAGCTAATAAGTTTGGGGGCTCTTTTGTTCTGGGCTTCCATCTTGTTCCACCTGGTGGCAGGTGGGAGTCCTGTCGCGACAGTCTTCAATAAAGACCAAGCCTACTGGCTGCTGTTTTGCTCTGGTATTCCTGGCTGGTGTCCTTTTTTTTTTGTCCAAGGGAGCCCTCAGATTTCTCTGCTAACAGCGCCCTGCTTCCTTTTAGGGATGAGCACCGCAGCAGAAGTTGTTGTGGCCAGGCACTGTGGCTTGCGGGTCTTTGGTATCTCGCTGATCACCAACAAGGTGACCAAGGACTATAGCACGAAAGAGAACGTCGACCATCACGGGGTGCTCGAAGTGAGCCGGAGAAGAGCTTCCACGCTCCAGGCGCTCATCACAGCCCTGGTGGGCAGGCTGGACTCTTGCAGCAGTGGCAGTGGCCAGAAGGATGGCGAGACCTATCAGAATGGAGTCTAAAAACGCCAGGCGTCAGCTGTGGACCCAGGAGTGTGCTGGCAGCAAGGGGAGAGCCGCCCGCTCCACATCGTATACTCCAAACAAAATCTGGACTGAGAATCCAAAACTATGACCATGCCTGTCTCAATCAAATCACCAGCCTCTGCCAAGCTAGTGCCCTCCAAATGTTTTGGACGGCAACTCCCAGGTCTGGCAGTCCAAAACATCTGGTGGGCACCAGGTTGGCAAAGGCAGTTTGACACCAACCCTGCAGGTGTCTTAATTCTTTATCGTAAGCTGGCCTGTCCCATGTTAGCCCCACAAAGCCCACTGAGCCTGGGTGAGCCAGCGGTGGTACATTGATGAGAGTGTTGGACTAGGACCCGGGACAGACCCAGATTCAAATCCCCACTTGGCCATGAAGCTCACTGGGTGACCTTGGGCCAGTCACTGCCATTCAGCCTACCCTACCTCGCAGGGTTGTTTTTGCTGTGAGGATAAAATGGGGAGCAACAGCAAACATATACATCATCTTGAGCTCCCTAGAGAAAAAGTGGGATATAAAAGTAATAAACAAACTGTCCCTATCAACTGCTCTGTGCTATCCTGGAGGAATAAATATTGTAAAAATGCACATGGGATTTAAAAGATAACACAACACGCCATGCTAATCTCTTGAGTGGAGCAAGGTTCCAGGCGTTTTACAGACTGCAACCTTCCCTGGCCTCCCCAAGTCACAGTCACAGCCAACTCTGAAACTGTAATTCAAATTCTCCTTTGTCTTCCAAGTGAACTTTTGAGTCGAGGAAGGGCTCCCTCCTTTTTGCATCTGGCACAAAGTTCCCTCTCTTTGGCTTTCCCAATGCCTCATTAGCTTCCCCTTGTCTTTCTTAATACAGTACAGTGGTACCTCAGGTTACATGCGCTTCAGGTTACAGTCTCCGCTAACCCAGAAATAATACCTTGGATTAAGAACTTTGCTTCAGGATGAGAACAGAAATCGTGCTCCAGTGACGCGGCGGCAGCGGGAGGCCCCATTAGCTAAAGTGGTGCTTCAGGTTAAGAACAGTTTCAGGTTAAGGACAGACCTCTGGAATGAATTAAGTACGTAACCAGAGGTACCACTGTAGTTCGTCTCCCAGGCAATTTCCAGGCTGGCCTGGCTATTCCAGCATTAGAATCTGTGCTGGATCCAGGAATTAGAAGCGGGGCCCAAGCATTCACCCTAACCCCACAAACCTGGGAACTGCCATTCTAGGTGGCATTGCAGCTGGGGGAATCCCTTTATTCTCGGCGTCTTATTTTAAAAAATGCAAAAGAAACGAGTCTCTTGTTGTGGGAGGGCAGGTGGAGATGGCAACTATGGGAATTAAACCACATTCAATTCAGTGGGCCATCTGAGCCTTGGAAAAAACCAGGAGCCTTGGGGACATATTATTAAGTTTCAATGTCACCCTTCACCAGAGGATCACAGGATGCTTTGCGATACAAAGGTAAAGGTAAAGGGACCCCTGACCATTAGGTCCAGTCGTGGCCGACTCTGGGGTTGCGGCGCTCATCTCGCTTTATTGGCCGAGGGAGCCGGTGTACAGCTTCCGGGTCATGTGGCCAGCATGACTAAGCCGCTTCTGGCGAACCAGAGCAGCACACGGAAACGCCGTTTACCTTCCCGCCGGAGCGGTACCTATTTATCTACTGCACTTTGACGTGCTTTCAAACTGCTAGTTTGGCAGGAGCAGGGACCAAGCAACGGGAGCTCACCCTGTCGCGGGGATTCGAACCACCTGATCGGCAAGCCCAAGAGGCTGAGTGGTTTAGACCACAGCACCACCTGCGTCCATGTTTTATGATATAAAAACACACAAATACATAACATAGTAACAAACAAGAGCAGTTATCTCCTGGGAAAAAAACCACACACACACAGAGTTTAGAAGGCCATAGTTTTATTTGCCAATACAGTGCACTATGTGGGACATGGGCAAGGCCCAAGCAGCTCATTGGGGGAGCCCCAGCCTGGCAGGCAGAAGGTCCCATGTTTAATCGTCAGCATCTTCAGGTGGGTCCGACTTGAACCCTGCGATCTTCATCAGAGGCCTTTCTTCATGTGCCTTCTCCACAAGAGGTCCGGAGGGCAGCAATAGGAACAGGCCTTTTCTGCAGTGGCTCCCCATTTGTGGGACACTCCCCAGGGAAACTCGCCAGGCACTTTTGTTACATATCTTTAGGCTCCAGGCAAAAAATCCCTCTTCTCCCAGGCATTCAACTTATTTATGTCCATTTTTAAATGTGTTTTTTTTGGGGTGGGTTTGATTTTGTTTTGTGTTTTCATTTTTTATTTTTATACTGCGAATTGCCCTGTGATCTTTGGATGAAGGGTGGTATACAAATTTAATAAAAAGCAATAATCATGCTGTGCAGGAAAGGCTCCTGTATCACAACTGCAATAAATTAATTTAACGCTGAGCAAAAACACACATATTTCAGCATCTCGTGCACACTGCATAGAGCTCCAGGTGCGATGGACAAGGCTCCCTGTCTGTAAATCTGGACGGCTGCTGCCAGTCCGTGCAGGCAATACAGAGCTACGGTAAATAGAGCAGCCGCCTGACTCAGCATACAGCAGCTGAGGAAATGCGGGGCTGAAACTCAAGAAGACAAGGCGTTTCCTTCGGTTTAATTTGCTTTGCAAAGGAGATCGCGGGGAAACAGACAAACCAACATTAAATAAGGCGCTTTTGCAGCGTCTGCAACCTGCCGCACTACCTCGAGAAACGCACGTGTGCGAAAGGGCGATCGCGCATGCGCGGAATGCTGGAGGGCGGAGGCGTGGCCACCGCCGGGGCGGGGCCTTCCTTACCTCTAGGGACCGTCCATAAAGTACTCGATCCCGGGAGGCGAAGAATTCTGCGGGGAGCGCGAAAGAGGGAAGCCGAAATCTCAGATCCAGCATTGAATGTTTCCAAAGCGTTACTGGCAGGGAGAATGAGGAGGAGGAGGAGATCCTTTCCACGCCGATGGCTCTTTAGGGTGCGCAACGCTTCTGAGAGCGTATGGTACTTTGCGGACGGTCCCCCCGCTAGGCTCAGCCACCCCGGCTCGGCTTCCGTACTTCCCTCGGTCGCCATGGAGACGGCGGCCGGCCGCGCCGGTTGCTAGGAGACGCGGGAGGCTCGGGGAAAGCGCGACGGGGAGCGGCGGCAGGTAAAGGCCGCGTGGAGCCTCCCTGGCCAGGGGCAGTCTATCCCTGAAGGGAGCGGCGCTGGCGGGAGACACGACTGGAGCCCGGCAGGTCAACGGGGTCCAAAGGTCCAGGAGAAGAAGCGGGGAGGCTGCGCTTGGTCCGCCTCTCCCGAAAAGGACCATTCAAGATGATGATGATGATGATGATGATCACTATCATCACTATTATTATTATTATTATTGTTGTTGTTGTTACTAAAATAATTTTTATTAATTTTCCATTTAAACATATATAATCACATCATTATTGAGGTTCACATCAGATTGAGGTTGAATCCTGACAAGACAGAAGTGCTGTTTTTGGGGGACGGGGTTGGGCTGGCGTGGAGGACTCCCTGGTCCTGAATGGGGTCACTGTGCCCCTGAAGGTACGCAGCCTGGGAGTCATTTTGGACTCACAGCTGTCCATGGAGGCGCAGGTTAATTCTGTGTCCAGGGCAGCAGTTTACTAGCTCCATCTGGTACACAGGATGAGACCCCCCTGCCCACGGACTGTCTCGCCAGAGTGGTACATGCTCTGGTTATCTCCTGCTTGGACTACTGCAATGTGCTCTACATGGGGCTACCTTTGAAGGTGACCTGGAAACTACAATTAATCCAGAATGCGGCAGCCAGACTGGTGACTGGGAGCAGCTGCCGAAACCACATAACACCGGTCTTGAAAGACCTACATTGGCTCCCAGTACGTTTCCGAGCACACTTCAAAGTGTTGGTGCTGACCTTTAAAGCCCTAAACAGCCTCGGTCCAATATACCTGAAGGAGCGTCTCCACCCCCATCGTTCTGCCCGGACGCTGAGGTCCAGCTCCAAGGGCCTTCTGGTGGTTCCCTCACTGCAAGAAGCCAAGTTACAGGGAACCAGGCAGAGGGCCTTCTCGGTAGTGGCACCCGCCCTGTGGAACGCCCTCCCACCAGATGTCAAAGAGAAAAATACCAGACTTTTAGAAGACATCTGAGGGAAGCCCTGTTTAGGGAAGCTTTTAATGTTTAACAGGTTATTGTATTTTAGTGTTTTGTTGGAAGCCGCCCAGAGTGGCTGGGGAAGCCCAGCCAGATGGGCGGGGTATAAATAATAAATTCTTATTATTATTCTCCACTTTTCTTCTTTGTCTCTTTAGAGCCTGCCGATTTCCTTCCGTCCCGCCTGGCCACGGGCTCCAAAGATGGCTTTCCAGAGTCCAACTATCTTCCCCAAGAGCCTCATCAGCTCCATAAGACAAACTGTGAGTCCCAGAAAGTGGGGAGGGGGCAATTTTACAAAACAGTACGGCAACTATATTGTAAGTCGCTGTGAGTTTGCATTTTGTAAACAAAGTGACTAATCAGCCCAATAAATAACAATAAAACAACTAAATCCAGTTTGCCCACACTTCTTTCTTCCCCGAATGTATTTACGTATAGATTTATAAAAGTACTTGCATACAAGTTATATCATAGAATACTGTATTAAATGTGTTTGTGGGAGAGTGATTAATGATTCGTTTTATTACATATTTTGTTTTTGTTTTACATTTTGTGTATTTTGAATTCTCATTTTGTCTTCTGTTATCAACCACCCTGGTATCTTCGGATGAAAGGCGGTATGCAAATTTAATAAGAGCATAAATAAAATAGATATCAAAGCATTTTGCAAGAATATCTATACACAATAAAAAAAAAAGAATTGGAAAATGCAGAAAGATGATTTCTTAATTGCCTGCATAAGATTGGTGGCATAAAAACATTCAAGGTGTTGATATGAACCTATAAGGTCCTATGTTTGAGAGATCACCTTGTCCCTTATATAACCAGTAGGTCATTGCATGTGTTGATCTCCCTTGAGCTTTCTCCAGATGTCAAAGAGAAAAATAACTACCAAACTTTTAGAAGACATCTGAAGGCAGCCCTGTTTAGGGAAGCTTTTAATGTTTAATAGGTTATTGTATTTTAGTGTTTTGTTGGAAGCCGCCCAGAGTGGCTAGGGAAACCCAACCAGATGCGCGGGGTATAAATAATAAATTATTATTATTATTATTATTATTATTATCCCAGTTGAATGACTACTGGCTATTTGTGAAAAGCAGCGGAGCCTTTGTGGGTCCCCTGCCATTCTAGGGGATTAGGCTGTGGAACACTAGATTACGCTAGCTTCGGACTTCCGGGGTGGCGCCATCGGTAATGGCGGATTCCCTCTGATCCGGACGGACTGGCTCCACGGAAAACGGGTCTGTTCCGCTACGGCGAAGCGGGGACCCTTTAAAAAATCACAGGCGGATGAAGCCTGTGACCATGGGACTCGGCGGGCACCATTCGCGCCCCCCCAATTCGTAAAGGAATCCAATTACGGGCTCCGGAGCGAAGAGGGGTTAGTGGCGCGGTGCTGAGAGTCAATTGCTTCTTCCGTGGAGCGAAGCCGCACAGCCGTTGCCGGAGAGCGCTACCTTTTTCCTGGGACAATTTGGCTACAAAAACAACTACCCGTGAGCAAATCAAATTTGGACAATTGGACTTTAAACAACGATCTGTGAGTAGAACGGAAAATTGGATTAAGAAATTCCTCTTAATTTGGCACTGAAGCGGGAAGGTCTAAACAGGAAGTCAGCCTTCCGTTTCTTGTAGATAGATTAAAGCAAAGACATAGCAAACTAGAGTTTAGAAAATCATTTGTAAAGGATCAACTTTCATCATCTAAAGCTACTGAACCCCCTTCGGAAGCAGGAGAAGAAGGGGGATTTTTTCCGGATTGTTTAAACCTGCAGAAGAGAGTGTAAAGAAAAGTAATTTTCCACCGTCTTGAACCTGGGAGCGTGGTGTCAGGACAGACGTTTTTGGGAAGTTCATTGACTATAGACAAATATTTTTGACAGACAGTTAAAAGAAGAGAAACATAGTGATTCCATTGTTCTCTTTCGCATTTTTAAAGGAACAAATATTGACAAAATATCTGAAAAAGGAAACTTTGTTGTTAGACTTGCTGTTAAAAAAAAAAGAAAGAAAGAAAAGAGATTGATACAAATAGAAGTTCTTCCCCTAGAGGGAGCTTGTGAAACTGTTATTAAATTTGAACTAGGGAGCTTCGCAGCTGCAACAGATTAAGATCGTGGGAACAGACTTCTGACCTTGCATAACAATGTATTCAGAGGCTCTGGTGCGAGCTTTCTGCAAGACAAGTGCTTTATTGGAACAGTTACATGAGAAGACGGATTTGATGACTGTTGCGATTAGAAATTTTGGACAGGTAGTGGGTATCTATAGAGAACCCACCCAGGAATCAACCCAGGAGTGTGCTCTGACAGATCAGATGAGGGAGGAGGTTGTTGTTGGACCTCGGGTGGCAGAGATGGAGGGAGCTGTGGCCCAGCAGGAACATGAGTTGTTGGATTTGACAAATGAACTTGGAAAAAGCCAGATTTGGAGAGATAGAGTTTTGTTGGGCTTGGAGATGGGGGCTGGATAGACCCCCCTATGCAGGGATGTCTTGACTTTTCAAGTCTGGCAATGGGTCGTGAGGAGTTTGGGGTTGTGGGGGTCCTCAACTCTGGAGGGATCTTGAAACATGCTTTTAAATACCACATGGAGTTCAGTGTGGACTATGGAAAAGGGGCTGATCTGTCGGGAAGAGACAAAAATACTGTCAAGTTGGAGTTTCCACGAGTGAGAGGACCAAGAGATAAAGTAAAGTACAGGTATAAATATGAAGAAGATCTGCGGAAGGAACATGGAAGAGACTTAAGGGCCTCGGACATAAGATTGCCAGGTTAATGAACTAGATGGATGGGATAGAAAGGACTGACAAAACCCGGGACCAGGAGGAAGAGACGCTGGATGAAGACTGGAAGAAAGTTTTAAAAATTTTTTATTTAGGATTGTTTTGTAAAATTAATGAGTATTAGAAAAATGTTGGAACGAAATTATTTGGCTTTAGCAGAAATGTTAAAAAGAACTATGCAAGAATATGTTATGGTTATGAGAAATTGGTATAAATAAGATTTAAGTTTTATGTTTTAGGGTCTTTTATAGCAAGATAAGGTTAAAATATATTAAGGTAATTTAATGACAGAATATTATGAAAAATGGGAAGGATTTGCTGTGATAATTAATAACTAGAATACAAAAAAGGGAGGTGTGAGGAGGTCGATGAAATAAGGCAATGACAGTTAAGGATTTGGGAATATTGGATCTGTTTTTAAATTTTTGTGGTTTACTTTTGTTTTTTGATTTTGATGTGTTATGTGTTATGTGTTTTGTTTTTGTTTTTGTTTTTTGATTTTGATTTTTATTGATTTGTATTGTTTGATTCCTGTTTGCTTTTCCCTTGTTTTTTTCTTCTTTGTCTCTTTGTTTTTTCTGTAATTTTAAAATGCTTAATAAATATCATTAAAAAAAAAAAAAGATTACTCTCTCTTCAGACAGGCAAGGAACAGTTTGCTTCACAAACAGAAATGCACTCTGCACATGCCCAGGGATACGTTTGCTTTTAGGGCCTTTTTTCGTTGTTGTTGTTGTTTTTTTGTCTTAAAGGGTGTTCTTCTGCTGAATATTGTCTGCTTCCTCCATATGAGCCTGTCCCTTTCTTGTGTCGCCTTTAGGATTACAGCAGATGGCAAAGAGACAATGTGGCACGGAAGTCCGCACTGAAATTAAACATGCCTCCAATTTCGACAGCAAAGGACTTGACGAAGAAAGGGGGTGTCAGTTCTCCAGAAAAGCCGAAAGAGAAGAAAATAGGTTGGGAAAAGTTTTGCTTGTGTGCCTGGACTCCGGCCCCCGGGCAGAGGAGGAGGAGTTGGTTGCTACCCCAAACTCTTCTGGGCTGGAGAAACTTTCAGCACTTTCTCCCCTTCTCTGCCATGTTGTCCCCAGCAGCCGTAAACTGAGTGCTTTACCCAAAACGAATTAATGCCGCTTTTCTGTTTCAGAATGGGCAACGACTGCAAGAACGGTTGTGAGAATGATGCCCTCTATGCGACAGAAGTCCACCCGGAATCTAAATATGACAAAGGAAATGGTCCGGGCCAAGAGACTGGAGAATATCAGAATCATTCAGGTACATAAAGCGATACCCTGCGTTGAAACTGTGGCATCAGGTGCTGCTGATACAGACATAGGGATGGTCCAGAAACATGGAATTGTAGAGTTAGAAGGGACCCTAAGTGTCATCTGCTCCAGCCCCCTGCAATGTAGGAAGCACAACTAACGAACCCATAACAGATGGGCATTAAGCCTCTGCTTAGAAATCTCCAGTGATAAAGAGTCCACCACCTTTGAGGGAGACCATTCCACTGTCGAACAGTGCTAACTTTCCATTTTTCCAAAATAAAGAGAGCCAGTGTGGTGTAGTTGGTTATGAGTTGGTAGACTCGTAATCTGGGGAACCGGGTTCGCGTCTCCGCTCCTCCACATGCAGCTGCTGCGTGACCTTGGGCTAGTCACACTTCTCTGAAGTCTCTCAGCCCCACTCACCTCACAGAGTGTTTGTTGTGGAGGAGGAAGGGAAAGGAGAATGTTAGCCGCTTCGAGACTCCTTCGGTTATTGATAAAGCGGGATATCAAATCCAAACTCTTCTTCTTCTTCTTCTAACCCTCAGAAAGTTCTTTGTAATGTTTTGTTGGAATCTCCTTCCTTATAATTTTAATCCATTGGTTCAGGGCTTACCCCCCAGAGCAGCAGAAAACAAGCTTGTTCCATCTTCGATGTGACAGCCCTTCAGATATTTGAAGTTGGCTTTTCTATCTCCTCTCAGCCTCCTCTTTTCCAGGCTAAACATCCCCAACTCCCTCAACCGTTCCTCATCAGGCTTGGTTTCCAGATCCTTGACCATCTTGGTTGCCCTCCTCTGCACACCTTCCAGCTTGTCAATATCCTTCTGAAACTGCGGTCCTGGACACAGGACTCCATGTAGTCAAGTAAAAGCCTTGGGATGTGCCCAGAATCGGGTGTAGATTTGATTTCTGCCTTTTTGACCAGAAACTCCAAATTTGGCGACGGGAACCAGTTGTGCAATTTCCATGACAGTGCAAAAGGGCGTGGGAGGGTTGCAGCATTCTCGGACTGCGGGCATCCTCCGGTTTTGGGTGGCGTTAAGAAGAGAGCTGAAAAGAACAAGGAAGTCCCAGCAAAAGAACAATGGCAAGAAAAACTGATGAGCTATGCGGAATTGGCAAAGTTAACATATACCGTATTTTTTGCACCATAACACTCACTTTTTTCCTCCTAGAAAGTAAGGGGAAATGTCTGTGCGTGTTATGGAGGGAATGCCTACGGGTGGCATGCCTACGGATTTTCCTCCTCTAAAAACTACGTGCGTGTTATGGTCGGGTGCGTGTTATAGAGCGAAAAATACGGTAAACCACAAGAGGAGGACAACTGTGACTTTAAGGAAGAATGGGAAATTTTATAAAGACAACAAAAGGACTTGGACTCCTTGGCAGGTTTTGAATAAACGTTCACAAATTTATTAGTAGAACATAGGATAGATATATGCACAACTTTTTAACATGCAGAGAATAATATGTGCAAACAAATCAGAGAGGGGAGCTGAGAGAAGTTTTAGGAGGGTTGGAGAGGGAGGGATGGGAGGGAATAAAAAGGGGGGGAATGTAATTGGATATATTGATTGATAATTTGTTTTGTTAAAATTGTTCAATAAAAATATATTTTAAAAAAAGAAGAAGAAGAAGAGGTGAGCTGTTTGGTAACCCCTTCCTTCCAAAAATTCCCCAGCGGTTTATCAAGCACAAGACAAACAGCTTGGAAGAAATAAAACGCCATTCCAACTTTCTCCTGGAGAAAAACCGGGCGCTGATGGAGGAGATCAAGGAGATGGATGCAGATACCGTCGTCCAGGCCAGGGGCCTTCTCCAGCAGTACGACATGTTTAGGGTAAGGCTGGCGTAGTCAGGAAGCAGCCTTAGACACCTGAATCGCTCTGCGTCAGGACCATGTGACTGTACCCAGTGATACTTGGCACGGAAAGGAAGTTCCTGAATCCCAACCCTTTGCTTGAACTAAGCAGCTTCTCTATGCTTCTAGAAACGTAAGACGCTGCCTGATACTGAGTCAGAGTATTGGTCATAGAATCATAGTATAGTAAATTTGGAGAGTACATCCAAAGGCCATCTAGTCCAGCCCCCTGCAACGGTCCATCTAGTACAGGATTGTCTTGACTAGTGGTGACTTCCCAGGGTTTCAGGTCGGAATCTTTCCCAGACAGGAGTTCAATATGGAACTTTTTGCAAGTGTGCTGGTCCCGGGGGGCGGGGCGGGTTACCGTGAGGTGTGGTCAGAGTCCGGTCCTGGGTCAAGGGTCTGGAGACTGTCCACCAAGGGCGAAGCGGGGTCCAAAGCAAGAAGCCGGGCGTAGTCGGGAACTCTGGAAAAACAGGTCTGGGTGCTGGCAGAAACAGGTTTCCAACAACATTGCTCCCGCAACCTGGGACTGGGCTGACTGGCCTTTATCTCCTCTGGGGCCTAGGGTGGTCCCAGCCCACAGGTGACTCGCCTCTCCTGGCCTTAAGGCGAGCAGTCCTCCTGAGAGAACTTATTTCCCTCCGCCTCTCTGCCCTGAGCCTCTGCAGCTCCGGAGAAGCTAGAGGGTTACTGGACCTAGAGGCAACCTCACCTTCCCCTGACAGGGCTGGGAGAGGAGCACCTGCAGGCAATGGGTCCTCGATCACCTTCCGGAGCCAGAGCGGATTCATCTGGTGTCTGCTCCTGAGGATCCGGCACAGGTGCAGGCCCTTCAGATTCAAGGCCCTGCCCCGGCTCAGCCAGCCCTGGAGGTGGGGTCTCCTGTGCAGGCTGGGACTCCTCAGGTTCAGCTTCTGAATCAGATTCCCAGGCCATCACACCAAGTGAAGCGTGTTCTCTGCCACTGACTAAACAGCTCTTCCCATATAACCAGGAGCGACTGAAGTTCATGCAATGAGATTATAAATTGCCCACCTGCAATTTATTGGTCAGCCTGCTGTGATGTCATGGAACGTTCACAAGCATTCTGAGGCGGTGAAACGTATAGCTATGGAAAACAAACTTAGTGCAATCTTATGCACTATGGTTGCAACCAAAATCATTGGATAAGAAGTCCAACAATTTTGCTTGCAATCCTTAATACGCCTACTAGGCAGTAATTCCCACTGAGCACAGTGAGTGTTAATCCTGAATGCTGTGCATGTTTTAAATATTTTGTTTTGTGTTACTCGCTCTGAAGTGTTATAAAATCCAATTTACATAGTTCACCACAGATATTGGCATTATGATATTGGCAGTTTTATTTTCAGTCCCTTTCCCAACAACGCCAACACAGATTTTGACTTTTCCATGGGTTGTCCTTTCCATCAAGCTTTCCACTATGACTCCCAGGCACTTTCCCTGGTCAGTCACCACTAGTTCAAACTCCAGGAGTAACTTTGGGAAGTTAGGATATTTTTCTCCCAACCTGCATTGCTTGACACTTGCTCACATGGCTATTCTAATCCCCAGCCCCCAGTTTGAAGGGATCCTTTTGGATTTCTTCCCAATTGACTTTTCTGTACAAACTAGGAGCTGCAAGTGGTTCATGAACTAGCTTTGGTTCTTGGTAGTCCCAAGAACTGGTGCCTTTTGCTCCTGTCTCTGCAGACAATCATCCGATCTCTTCGGGACTCAAGTCAGAACCAAGCTGGTGTAGCAAAAGCAGATCTTGCGGCAGCAGAGAAAATGGTGGAGAAGAATTTGGGAAGTAAGCAGCACGTGATCTCAGATACCCTTCCTGCTCCCAGCTGGGTGGGGCAGAGAAGGAGCCCAAACCAGTAAACCCAAGGAGATCTTTGGATTTAGCTGTAGTGGAAAGTTAGCAGAAAACAGAAAAATACAAATCATAGTAACAAATGCAAACAATGCCCTGCTACACACACAGTTTTAAATACCATAGTTTGTTTTAATTAGCCACAGGCCTGGGAGAAGAGGAATGTTTTATTCTCTTGTTAATTCTGCTGTTTTAAATGTGCATTTTATATTTGACCTCATTTAGCAACGTTTTCTTTTGAAATGTTTAAGATTTTTTTTTGTTAACTTTGTTTGTATTAAATATGTATTCTGTAGTTGACCTCCTTTGTAATTTTTATTTTGAAATCTTTAAGACAATATTTTAGTTAATTATGTTGCTTTGACTGTATACTTTATATTTGACTTTCTTCAGTAATGTTTTCTTCTGGGTTGTTTTCTTTGACATTTTAATGTGGTGTAAACTGCTTTGAGATTTTTTCTTAAAAATATAAAGCGGTATAGAAACAACAACAGCAACAACAACATTTGCTTTTACAGTGGTGCCTCGCAAGACGAAATTAATTCGTTCCGCGAGTTTTTTCGTCTTGCGGTTTTTTCCGTCTTGCGAAGCACGGTGTCGGAAAAGTTTTGAAAAAGCTTCAAAAATCACCAAAGTCTTCAAAAACCTCAAAAAAGGCTACCACACGTGGTACTCCTCGAAGTCAAGTCGCAACTGTATTAACGGTTTTAAGAAAAAGGAAACAAACTTGCAAGACGTTTCCATCTTGCGAAGCAAGCCCATAGGGAAAATCGTCTTGCGAAGCAACTCAAAAAACCAAAAACCCTTTCGTTTTGCGAGTTTTCCGTCTTGCGAGGCATTCGTCTTGCGAGGTACCACTGTATCTTCTTCCTCTTGCCTTGCCCTCTTCCTCCTACTCCAGAACTGGATCAGGAGATGAAACGCATGCAGGCCAAAGTGCACGTCCTCCAGGAGGAGCTCAACATCCTGAGAACCTACATGGACAAGGAGTACCCGGTGAAAGCCGTCCAGATAGCCTCTCTGATGCGCAGCGTCCGAAACCTGAACGAAGAGCAACAGGTGAGCTGAGGGAGCCCTTGCTGGCCTCTGCCTTGTCTTCTTGGGCACAGGGCTGGCAGCAAATAGCCCTTGGGTACCGGTTTGATCCCTTTTCCTGCTTTGCCGCCCCCAGGACGAACTGGAGGAGATGGAGGATGTGTTCAAAAAGTACCTGGACAATATGGCAATGAAGGCGCAAAAGGAGCGGGAGCGCTTTTTGCAGCGCGTTACAGAGGTCCGTGGGGCAGGGCTGGTTGTCTGTGCTTTGCCCAGTGGATGGGTCTGGGTGGGGCTGGTTAGGGTTGTCTACTTTCCGTGCAATGTGTCTGGGCTTCCTCACTTGGCCAGAGGTCCGGAGAGATCTTTTCCTGGGCTACAAGCTTGTTACCACGGTGGAAAAAAGCAAAGTTGCGGATTTTACTTGAGGACTTTTTTGTAAATTATTTCCCTACATTGGTAGTTTCCAGTGCAGTGCCCACAGGGGCCAAGACAGGTTAGCGGAGCCAACAGGTGTGGCAGCAGCAAGTGAGAGGGAAGAGAACTCCCTGCGACCCAGTTAGACCATTGGCCCATCTTGCTCATTGTGGTCTTCCTCTGACAGGCAGTTTTCTTGAGGTTTTCAGACAGGGCACAGTCCTACTTGTAGATTGACCTGGGACCTTTCGCACGCAGAGCACATGCTCTGCCTTTGCGCGAAGGCTCTCAAACGCTTCCTTCCCCGGTGTTGCTGTTGCAAACAAACCCACAAACCTTGGCAGATGCTTTTAAGTAAAAAGCAGAACAACAGGGGATCTGATCACAGTTTTCTCATGCCATTTCTGTTTGGGCCGCCACCAGGCCCAGAGATTAGTGGCCTAGATCCACAGATGACCCGATGCAAGATAAGGGAACTGTGTACATGCTGTTGGGATGCATCCAAGGAAACGGGCAATTGACAGGCCCCCAGCTGGCTCTAGCCCACCGGCCGGCAGCCGGGCGAACTCCGGTCCTTGGATCAGCATGTAACTGCGACCCGAGCTTCAGAAGCTGAGCACGCAAGCGAGCAGAGATAAGAACTCTTCGCAACAGAAGGGCAGGTTAGGGGCTGTGTAAAGTGTATTTACAGGCATTTTATTCAGCATCACGACAAAGGAGAAACATGTCTGCTCCCCTTCGTGTCCAAGCAAACAGCATAAGCAAAAGCTATATGGGTGGCGCTGTGGGTTAAACCACAGAACCTAGGACTTGCCGATCAGAAGGTCAGCGGTTCGAATCCCCGCGGCGGGGTGAGCTCCCGTTGCTCGGTCCCTGCTCCTGCCAACCTAGCAGTTCGAAAGCATGTCAAAGTGCAAGTAGATAAATAGGTACCGCTTCGGCGGGAAGGTAAACGGCGTTTCCGTGCGCTGCTCTGGTTCGCCAGAAGCGGTTTAGTCATGCTGGCCACATGACCCGGGAGCTGTACGCTGGCTCCCTCGGCAAATAAAGCAAGATGAGCACCACAACCCCAGAGTCGACCAAGACTGGACCTAATGGTCAGGGGTCCCTTTACCTTTTTATACTCAAACGGAAGTTCCCAGCATGCTGTGCTGGAATGTAAACAGGCATGTGACACACAACAGCCTGTTCCTCTTAAGGTGGAACGGAATATCTTAACACATATATGCATGTATAATTCAAAATATCTGGGAAATGCTCTTCTGTCTACTGGAGCAGAAAGTGCAGGAGGAATAGTCCGCCGCCCCCCGCCCCCCCCCAAATCTCTGGCATGGAGATTCATGCCCTCTGAAAAATGATTTGATTTATGATAGTCAAGTGGCAGCTTGAGTGTCAATTGAGCCACAGTGTGCGGCTTGGCAAAGCGATCTGTCGAACTGTCCTCTGGGAACTCGCACCTTCCAGGGGCTCAGGGTACCCTCTTGTTGACTTCCGGGATCCTTTGTCCATCTTTGCTTCTAAATTGCATTTCCCCCTTTCTCTGTGCAGAAGAAACTGATGGAATACCAGGACGGCCTTCACCAGATGGATAAGAACAATTTGGAGCTGAAAAGACAAATAAGCAAACAAAAGGAGGCAAGAGGCTTGGGGACGGCAGCAAATGGCTCGGCGGGGAATTCTGCCAATGGCTGGGCTGGGGTATCAGGGCTGGAGCCAGATGAAGCAGAGCCAGTTGCCAGCGAAGTTCACTTTTTATTCAAGGAAGTGAACATAAAACTCAGCAACCCTTCCCAATAGGTCTTGCCCCTATAGCGCAGGACTGACGGCCCCTGCTTTCCACCCTTTCTAAGGGTCCTCCTCTCCCAGCAGCCCCAAACTGCATCTGTGCAACTTTGGTCTCTGTCTTGCCCTCCTCATTGTTCTGTGTACTCTTGGAGATGGGGTGGGGAGGGGAGAGCTTGTCTCAGCAGGAGAGGGAGACTCCCTGGATTCTTCAGCAGGCTCTTAATCTCCGCCCCCTCTCTGCTTCAGCCTCAGAGTCTGAACTGTTCTCTGTCACCGGCTCTCCCTGCTCACTAAACCCTGTTGCTCCTTCAGCATCCAACCCTTGCTCCTATGACCTCTTCTCAGTGTCCCACCAGCAATCTCTGGGCTCGGAGCCTTCCTCCTTGGTGGGGTGGGGTGTCTTCCCTGAGTACCAGCTGGTACCTCCTAACACTCCTTGTCATAGAATTGTGGAGTCGGAAGGGATCTCGAAGGCCATCTTGTCTGACCCCCTGCAATGCAGGAATCGCTGCTGAAGAATCGCTCACAGGTGACCGTCCAACCAGTGAAGGAGAGTCCAGCACCTTCTGAGGTGTACTGAGTCCTGAGAAGGGGCTTAGTGTTCCTGGCTATTACTCCACCCTGCCTGGTCTTTACTCCCAACATCCCTGGGGAACGATCTCACAACTGGAGCTGGAATGAGGGGAGGCTGGTTTTTGGCTTAGAGGTGCCTTGGGAGGGAGTTCTATCTTTCGCGATGAACGTGAAATGCCACCCCCGGTGGATTGTCGGCTGAGATCCTGAGCCGAGTGTAGTTTGAAGGTGGAGCTAAAATAATTGGATCATCATATGGAGAGAATCTTCCACATCTCCGGCTCGGCCTGATGGTGGTAGCTAAACTCAGGCAGAGGTTTTCTCTACGACTCGGCGGAGGCAGCAATAGGGCACCCTCAGAGTTACCTGTGAGTAAGCGGTGAACTTCTGATCTGGAAGCCCAACGTGTTTAAAACTCCGTGGAGGGGGAAGGCCGTTTGGAGCAGGGGAATGGGAAGTGTTTGGAGCCGGACTGCGAGGGCAGGAGTTGTTACAACAGCAGCAAGAAGTCTTGCGGCACCTCAGTGACTCGTGGGCTTGTTATGTCGTCACCTTTCGTGGGCTAGAACCCTCTTCACCCATCTCCCTGACTTGCTTCTTTCTCCTTTCAGGTAATTGCTGGACTGGTGAAAGACGTCGCCGCGTTGCACAAGAACCTCAACACACTCCATCACTCCACTGGGGATCCGCGAGAAGTGATCTTTGCAGACGTCCTCCTCCGTAGACCCAAGTAGGTCCCTTAGCCTGTGTCCCAAGCAGTAGCATTTTCTGGGGGCACTTTGGGCCATGCTTTCACGCTGAGCAAGCCCGGGGTGTGTGTGTGTGTGATGCGTTGCATTGGCCAAGGGGCTGCACCAGGGACTGAAAAGCAGGGAGAAGCAGGGCGGCTTTCTAGCAGGTTACAGGGTGGAATAAAGGAGCCTGTGGCTTCATAGTCTCTTGTGGGACCCTGTTTTTAGGCGATGAGAATTGACTGGGCCACTTTGGTTCCTGTCTTCCTTGCCAGCTTCCTGCTGCCAATCACAAGGACATAAGCAGATCCTAGTCTAGGGCTGGGCAATATCTGGTTTTCAACAACGTGATAGATCAGCAGCTAAACATTGCTATATACAGTGGTACCTTGGGTAAAGTACTTAATTCGTTCCGGAGATCCGCTCTTAAGCTGAAACTGTTCTTAACCTGAAGCACCACTATAGCTAATGGGGCCTCCTGCCGCCGCTGCACAATTTCTGTTGTCATCCTGAAGCAAAGTTCTTAACCCGAGGTACTATTTCTGGGTTAGCGGAGTCTGTAACCTGAAGCGTCTGTAACCTGAAGTGTATGAAACCCGAGGTACCACTGTATAACGATAAAGCACAATGTCTGAAATAAGGTGGAGCTATGTAGAGACTTTGGCTGCCTTCATGGTTTTTCCTGCGTCTTGATTTTTGCCGGCACCTGCTCTTGTGATTCGCTGCCCCCCTAAATGAGGCAGGGGAGAGCTGGGCCGGCAGAGTTGAACAAGGGCTGCAGGAATCGATAGAAGCATTGGCTGGCTTCACGGTTTCCCCCACATTGTGATTTTGGCATGTGTTGCCAGGTCTGAAATTATGAAACCAGTTTTGGACGCTATATCGATATATCGCCCAGCCCTAGTTGAGACCTGCATCCTGTTCTCACAGAGGCCACCCAAATGTGTGTGAGAATCTGAGCCCCCAAGCCCCCTCCCCTCCTGGCATTCAGAAGCATCACTGCCTCCGAATGTGGAGGCAGATCAGAGCCATCTTGGCTAGCAGTAGTAGTAGTAATAATAATAATAATAATAATAATAATTTATTATTTATACCCCACCCATCTGGCTGGGATTCCCCAGCCACTCTGGGTGGCTTCCAAAAAAATATTAAAATACTGTAATACATCAAACATTAAAAGCTTCCCTAAACAGGGCTGCCTTCAGATGTCTTCTAAAAGTCTGGTAGTAGTTGTTCTCTTTGACATCTGGTGGGAGGGCGTTCCACAGGGAGGGCGCCACAACCGAGAAGGCCCTCTGCCTGGTTCCCTGTAACTTGGCTTCTCACAGGGAGGGAACCGCCAGAAGGTCCTCGGTGCTGGACCTCAGTGTCTGGGTAGAACGATGGGGATGGAGACGCTCCTTCAGATATACTGGACTGAGGCCGTTTAGGGCTTTAAAGGTCAGCACCAACACTTTGAATAGTGCTCGGAAATGTACTGGGAGCCAATGTAGCTCTTTCAAGACCAGTGTTATGTGGTCTCGGCGGCCGCTCCCAGTCACCAGTCTAGCTGCTGTGTTCTGGATTAGTTGTAGTTTCCGGGTCACCTTCAAAGGTAGCCCCACGTAGAGTGCATTGCAGTAGCCCAAGCGTGAGATAACCAGAGCATGCACCACTCTGGCGAGACAGTCTGTGGGCAGGGAGGGTCTCAGCCTGTGTACCAGATGGAGCTGGTAAACAGCTGCCCTGGACACAGAATTGACCTGCGCCTCCATGGACAGCTGTGAGTCCAAAATGACTCCCAGTAGCCTTCAAGAGCCCTCTCCTCTTTCACAGTCTTGTCTAATCCTCTTTTAAAGCCACCCAGGCCATCACTGCCTCCTGGGGGAGTGAGTCCCATAGTTTTTACTGCGCTGCATGAAGACTTCTATTTTGTGAAAGAGACAAGGGAAATGGCAGTTTTGCTGCTGCTCTTCTGCCCTTCTTTTCTGCCTCAGACATTTGTGCTTCCTCTCCTCTGATTTGCCCTTTGCTTTTTCCTTCCAGGTGCACCCCAGATATGGATATCGTTCTCAACATCCCCACGGATGAGGATTTCCCCCTGTAGTTCCTGGAAACGAGCTTGGGATTATGCACCTTGATCACGCAACGCCCTCCCTGTAGGCCTCTGGGAGCCAATTTCCCTCCTGCTTTGCTGAGCTGCACCCAAAACCAGCAGCCTGCCTCACTCCCGGTCCGTCGTCTTTAAACCTTCCTGCTAAGAATTGCTGCAGGGGTTTTCCTTGGCATCCCTGCCTGCAAATATTCCAGCATTAGATTCTATTAAAGCCAGTCATATCTGTTCAAAGAGAGTCAGTGTCTCAAATAATCACGACTCCTCCATGGAAGTCGTACTATCCACGCTGCACTGATGGTGCAACAGCTGCCTCTTTCGTTTCGGTTATTATATTTCTGTGCCGCTTTTCACTCACACGAATCACAAATCCGCTCACAAATGTTAAATAACGAGAACGTAATGGAACACCCCAGATACAACATAAATCTCATAGAATAAAGGAATCATCAGAAAAACAGTTGCAAATAATCAGTCAAACTCTTTGTCTTCTTTGGTGATCACTCATAGCCGAGTAAGATGGTCTTCCATAAACACAGTTTTAACAATGAGTCCGTAAGTGACTGTGGAGGCCAATTCTGGATCCACATGTCCTTCCACAGTGGGAACATTGGTTTCTGGGTGGGAGTTGATCACGGTGTGGATTTGCCAAGCGTGCCTTCCTCTTAGCACATTTTTCCCTTGTGTCCTGAGTTCAAGTGTCTTCAAAGCCCAGGACACCTTTGGTAAAGGCTGTTCTCCAACTGGAGCACTCGCAGGCCAGTGTTTCCCAATTGTCCGTGTGTAGACTACATTTTTTAAGATTTGCCTTGAGACAGTCTTTAAACCTCTTTTGTTGACCACCAGCATAACGCTTTCCATTTTCAAGTTTGGAATAGAGTAGTTGCTTCGGAAGACGACCATCAGGCATCCGCACAACATGACCAGTCCAACGAAATTGACGTTGAAGAATCATTGCTTCAACACTGGTGATCTTTACTTCTTCCAGTACACTGGTATTAGTTTGCCTGTATTCCCAAGTGATGTGTAAAAATTTTCGGAGACACCATTGATGGAATCTTTCAAGGAGTTGGCGTTTATAAGTGGTCCATGTTTCACAAGCATACAGTAAGGTGGGTAGTACAACGGTACAATCAGTCAAACAGACCGGAGAGGTCAAGGCAACTTCTTCCAAAGGCACTTTGAGCATAGAATCGTTGGAAGGGACCCTGGGAGTCCATCTCGTCCAACCCCCTGCAATGCAGGAATCTGGCCCAATGTGGGGCTCAAACCCACAATCCAGATATTAAGGGTCTCATATATGTTTTTTTCCCCATTTGACCTGCTTGCAATTATGATCCGTGTCACAGCTTCCTATACTCTGAGGTCAGATGCCTTGGAAACGGCACTCCGTAATTCCACTTCCCAAAGGTGTCCCAGCTGGAAGTTGGGTCTTCAACACCGCCTGCTTTCTTTGCACTTGAGGGTCAGCTTTGGGGGTCTTGGGTAGGTGGCGTGAGACCCACAGCTTTCCCCCTTCACAGCCACCACCCCACATCTGCTGCCTGAAGTGGTTGCCTCACACTGCCCAGCGCAAGGGTTGCCCCTGGTGAAAATCCAAACCCCCCAATATTGCTGTTTATTTCATTCCTCTATCATCTTTCATCTAAGGAGTGCCTGCCTCCCCACAGTTCCATTTTATCTTCACAACAACCCTGTGAGCTAGTTCATGCTGAGAGAAGCGGACTGGCCGAAACAGTGGCATAGCATGGATTGCCAAGAGCCCGGGGCAAGGAACATATTGTGCCCCCTAACCGGTGCCTCCTGAGGCTGGGGTGCCACCATGAGTCTCGCCATCTGCCCACCTTCCCCACCGATGGGGGATGCCACACAGCCGAGCGATGCGAGGGCCCATAATCTCCCGGCAGCTCCCCCCCCCCCCGCTACTCCTCTGAGCCCAAAGTCACCCCATGGGTGGAATCCAAAACCCAGGAAGGAAATCAGGCTCATTCTCTTCCAATTGTCCCATTGCCGCAAGCAATTTCAGCTTTCCCGTTGGGACAGTCTTCCCCGCCCCACAACCGTGTGCTGATCTGGGGGTTCCCCAGATGCCCCTGAGCCAATTTGGAGAGGGGGGGGAGTCCTATTATGCTCGTGTGGCTCCCGGTGGAGTACAGGGTCAGGTTTAAGGTGCTGGTTTTGACCTTTAAAGCCCTATGCGGCCTAGGACCCACGTACCTACGGGACTGCTTCTCCTGGTATGCCCCGCGGAGGACCTTAAGGTCCACAAATGACGACACTTTGGAGGTCCCAAGTCGCAAGGTGGTTAGATTGGTCTCAACTAGGGCCAGGGCCTTTTCAGTACTGGCCCCGACTTGGTGGAACACTCTGTCACAAGAGACCAGGGCCCTGCGGGACTTGACATCTTTCCGCAGGGCCTGCAAGACAGAGCTATTCCACCTGGCCTTTGGTTTGGACTTGGTCTGACCCTTATGTTTCCCTCCCCTTATGGTCTTGATCTATGGGCTACTTTTAAAATGAGGCTGCATTTTAAATTGCATTTTAACCTGTATTTTAAATTGGTTTTTTCCCCTATTATGTTTTTACTGATGTTAGCTGCCCTGAGCCCAGCTCTGGTCAGGAAGGCTGGGGTATAAATAATAATAATAATAATAATAATAATAATAATAATAATAATTACTACTACCACTACTACTACTACTACTATTACTATTGCACTGGCTTCTGCTGGCACACCAGCTTAGCTGGATCCGACCTCTCTGTCTTTGTACTTTCATCCTTCCAGACTGTGACACTTTATGGTTTAAATTTCGTATTCTTCGTTTTCTTTGCTTTTTCACACTTGCATTTCTTTCTTTTTTTTAAAAAAAGGGGCATTTTAAAAAATACCTCTATCTCTCCCGTCCCCCCCATGCACGCACACACACACACACACACACACACACACACTAACACAAACACATTGTGCACCTTCTGAATGTGGAGACCCAGGAACATGTTTGCATTACAGTCAAGATTCTATGGGATACTTTATGTCGGCAACATCAGTGGAAGACAACTGTCTTCCAGCGACGTCTTCTCCATCCTGCACATCTGCCTGCAGCCTCTTAATCTGCCGCTGGGTGGAGACTGCCAGTATCCTGTCCATTCAGAGAAATCTGCTGTGCTTTCTCCTTGTCCATTTTAATGACTCAGATATAGGGTTGCCATGTGTCATCTTTCCCCAGGATACGCCCTCTTTTGCACGGTCGTGTAACATGAGAGTCGTCACAGCGATCTATTGTTAACAGTAGAAGTTGGCAAATGTGTCCTCTTTTTTGCTCTTCAAAATATGGCCACCCTCCTCAGATGTGTTCTTTTATTGAGCAAAACTTACTTTAAATGCACGATGGGGGACGGACCAGTTTCCCCTCAGTCTTTTTGAAAACGGCATGTATTTCTTGTTTGAAGCTCCCACGTAGCATAAGGGACTGGGCATCCTCCTGCTCTCATTTTTTAATTGTTCTTATAATGTGATCACTGTACATGATTTGAATATGTAATTATTGATTATGTATACCCAATGTATACAATGTATAGGGACGCGGGTGGCGCTGTGGGTAAAACCTCAGTGCCTAGGACTTGCCGATCGTAAGGTCGGCGGTTCGAATCCCCGCGGCGGGGTGAGCTCCCGTCTTTCGGTCCCAGCTCCTGCCCACCTAGCAGTTCGAAAGCACCCTTTAAGTGCAAGTAGATAAATAGGTACCGCTTTATAGCGGGAAGGTAAACGGCGTTCCGTGTGCTGCGCTGGTGCAGGCTCGCCAGAGCAGCGATGTCACACTGGCCATGTGACCCGGAAGTGTCTGCGGACGGCGCCGGCTCCCGGCCTCTAGAGTGAGATGAGCGCACAACCCTGGAGTCCGTCAAGACTGGCCCGTACGGGCGGGGGTACCTTTACCTTTTATACCCAATGTATTAGCCGCTTGGGGGGTTTCACTGTTTGTGTTTTGGTTGTTGGTAAAAAAAAAATATTAAAAATTAAATTAATTTTTCAAAAAAGGAAGGTTTAGACCACATTCTAGTCCATTGTGTGGGGTTTATTTCGTAGCCTGTGCTGTGCTCCCATTTTTTTTTGTCAAGGGGGGGTTGTGGGATTCTGGAGCAGTATTTTGTATATTGTGGATGCCATCCCCTTGCCATGTCCCTTTGCTGTCAGGAGAAGGTTTCTGAAGGTGGTCAAGGACCTAGTGGCTGCTGAATTTACTACTGCATTGTTTAAGAAGGCATGTAGCTGGTGGTGTGTTAGCCAGGGTATTTGGGTGTCCCTTAGTTTGTCTTGTATTTCTTGTGTCGATAATAGTAATAATAATAATAATAATAATAATAATAATAATAATAATTTATTTATATCCCGCCCTCCCCAGCCAAGACTGGGCTCAGGGCGGCTAACACCAGGTAAAAACAATTGATTAAAATACAACTTAAAAACATTAAAATGCAGCCTCATTTCAGTAGAAACTCAAATCAAAAACTTTTGGGGGATGAAAATGATAAGGGTTTGTAATTTTTTTTTAGGAGTCTGCTAAGTGGCATCAGCCTTTGGCTTGGGAAGTCTTTATTTGGAAGTTTTGTGCTGCATGAATAGCCAGGGGGGTGAGTGGGGATGGGGACAGTTTGCCTTGCATTTTCCTTCCATGCTTTACGCATGGACTGTGCGAACCTTTTTAGTGTTGTGGGGATTTTCTTTAGTTTGTTTTGGATAAATGGGTATGCTGTGGATGGGGTGTTTTCGACTGTGTCTCTCTCTTTGTGAACCCATTGTTTCATCCTGTCTTCTAGAATGTATGGGATTATGTGGCGCACTTGGTTGGCGATGTAGTATAATTCTACATTGATAATTCCCCACCCTCTTTCTGAGGAGGGGAGGTGCAGGTATTTGGAGCTTATTCTTTTTGTGTGAGGTAATAAAAAAGTGTAGTTTTTTCTGCCATTTACAGAGTTCATAGAATTGTAGAGTTGGAAGGGACCCATGGGTCATCTAGCCCAACCCCCACAATGCAGGAATCTCACCTAAAGCATCCCTGACAGATGACCACCCAACCTCTTCTTAAAATCCTCCAAGGAAGGAGAGTCCACAACCTCCAAAGGTTCGAGTCCTACCCTCCAGAGCAGGAGAATACAGGCTTGCTGCCTCTTCCATGTGACAGCCCTTAAGATATTTGAAGACGGCTATCATTAGCTCCTCTCAGCCTCCTCTTCAGCTCCTTCAACTGCTCCTCATAAGGCTTGGTTTCCAGACCCTTGATCATCTTGGTTGCCTTCCTCTGCACACATTTCAACTTGCCAACATCCTTCTTAAATTGTGGTGCCCAGAACTGGACACAGTATTCCAAGTGTATTCTGACTAAGGTGGAATAGAGTGGTACTATTACTTCCCTTGATCTGGACACTACTATTGATGCAGCCTAGAATAGCATTAGCCTTTTTTGCCGCTGCATCACACTATTGACATGTTCAGCTTGCGGTCCACCAAGACCCCTAGATCCTTTCCACATGTACTGCTAGTAAGCCAGGTGTCTCCCATCTTATATTTGTGCATCTGGTTCTTCCTGCCTAAGTCTAGAAGCTTACATTTGTCCCTACTGAAATTCATTTCGTTAGCTTGGGCCCAGTTCTCCAGTCTGCTCCGGTCGTTTTGAATCCTGATTTTGTCTTCTGTGGCATTAGCGACCCCTCCCAGTTTGGTGCCATCTGCAAATTTGATGAGCATCCCCTCAATTCCTTCATCCAAGTCGTTTCCAAAGACACTGAACAACAACAGGCCCAGGACAGAACCCTGCAGCACCCCACTGGTCACATTTTTCCAGGATGATGAGGAACCATTAATGAATACTCTTTGAGTTTGGTTAGTCAACCAGCTACAAATCCATCTAACAGTTACAGTCATACTTCGGGTTGAAGTAGCTTCAGGTTAAGCATTTTCGGGTTGCGCTCCGTGGCGACCTGGAAGTAATGGAGCGTGTTACTTCTGGGTTTCGCTGCTCGCGCATGCGCAGGCGCTCAAAATGACGTCACGCGCATGCACGGAAGTGGCGAATCGCAACCTGCAGACGCGGGTTGCATTCGCTTCAGGATGTGAACGGGGCTCCGGAACGGATCCCATTCACATCCAGAGGTACCACTGTATCTCATTCAACCCACATTTTACCAGCTTTCTTGTGAGAATATCACGGGGGACTTTGTGATGTTTTAGAAGTTTTTGCTTGCACCTTTTGAAGTCTCTTGCAGCGGTATCAGGATAATTGACCCTTCACTGCCGTTTTGCAGAAAGGCAAACCAATAGGACACCCCAATTTGCATTGGAGAAATGTTGGAGGGGATGTACCCTTGCACACTTCTATTCTTCCCCCTCCTTGGGGGGGGGGATCACAGGTCTTTAAGCCCCTGTGATCTCAGCTCCTACCCAGAACTGGCATGTGTCAGTCTTTAACCTCCCTTCTCTGAAAGAACAAGGAGTGTTATACTCCTTTCCTCTGATGCACAAAGAGATCTCCACAATCTTTGATCAACACCAAATGGCCCCTTGGGCAAGACAGTTCTCCACCCATCTTTGTAAATGAAGGGTAGGATGGAAGGGAATCAAAAGTGTTGCTATTATTCCTCCATCAACCCACAACATAGCCTGTTGCTCTCAGTCTCGCCCCCTACGTTGCTGGGTGGATTCGCTTGGAAGACATTTGGAGACAAATCTATAAACTGGGCTGCTGCAACGCTGGTCCTTCATTCTCATCTTCCCAGGTTCTCCGTTCATGCTAAAATCAGGAGAAAGCCACCTCCAGGATGAGGCCTGCACTGCTGTTGGTGTTGGGACTGTCTCCTGCCTGCATATTCCCAGTCACTGCGCACATCCCTGTGCAGTCAGACTTCGAGCCCAGAAAGGTAAGTGATTTTCAGGTGGGACTTTCAATCCAGATCGGCTTGATGAAAAAGCCCCCAAGAGCTTGGCCCTCAAACGCCTCATTTAGTGGACATAGGATGCCCCTGTTTTCATCAGAGAAATGTTGGCGGCAATGGAATAGGATGCCCCTATCTCCATTGGCGGGACAGGGGTGGCGCTGTGGGTTAAACCACAGAGCCTAGGACTTGCCGATCAGAAGGTCGGCGGTTCGAATCCCCGCGACGGGGTGAGCTCCCGTTGCTCGGTCCCTGCTCCTGCCAACCTAGCAGTTAGAAAGCACGTCCAAGTGCAAGTAGATAAATAGGTACCGCTCCAGCGGGAAGGTAAACGGCGTTTCCGTGTGCTGCTCTGGTTCGCCAGAAGCGGCTTCGTCATGCTGGACACATGACCCGGAAGCTGTATGCTGGCTCCCTCGGCCAATAAAGCGAGATGCGCGCTGCAACCCCAGAGTCGGTCACGACTGGACCTAATGGTCAGGGGTCCCCTTTACCTTTACCCTGGTGAGGAGTCCCTTTACCTTTATCTCCATTGGAGAAATGTTGGAGAGGATGATATCAGCAGCAGAGAAAGCAGAACCCAAGAATGGTGCATTCTCCTGGGGATATTGGCGACCCTTTGGCTTACTCCCCTGGTCTTGCCTTTCTTGAGACTCTGGGCAGCCTTCTTCCTCTGAGCAGCTTTGCTCTAGAGTAGAAGCCCTTTTGCTTCTCCTCTCTTGCAGATACAAGAACACTGCTGCTTTCACCCCTGGTAGGACAATACTCAGGAGGAGTTTGGCTGCTCAATGCAGTTATTCTGTTTCAGGTTGCAGGATTATGGCATCCCGTTGCAATGGTTTCCTCTACACCCGAGGTGCCAGAACACGACAATCTGACGGCGCAGATGGACCACCGTGTGACGGTTTCTGATAGCGGCGACTTGAAACTCACTGCTAATGTTATGCTGTTAGTACCCTCAAATGCTGGCCTAGGACTCTTTTCCTGAAATCATTGGGTGGTGTTTTGGCCATTGCTCGGTCTTGCCAGGTTGCTTAGGCAATGCTGAGCTTGATGGAAGAAGGGTCCAATTTGGTATGAAGCTGGTCCCTAGGGAAGGTCACAGGATCCAGTTCTTTATCTTCCTTTATCTTAAGAGGTTATAGAGGGACGCAGGTGGTGCTGTGGTCTAAACCACTGAGCCTAGGGCTTGCCGATCGGAAGGTCGGCAGTTCGAATCCCCGCGACAGAGTGAGTTCCCGTTGATCTGTCCCAGCTCCTGCCAACCTAGCAGTTCAAAAGCATGCCAGTGCAAGTAGATAAATAGGTACCATGGCATCGGGAAGGTAAACAGCATTTCCGTGAGTTCAGACACTCGTTACAGTGTCCCGTTGCACCAGAAGCGGTTTAGTCATGCTGGCCACATGACCTGGAAAGCTGTCTGTGGGCAAATGCCAGTTCCTTAATTTATATATTTTTTAACTGTTGCTATATCTGTATTGTCCCTGTTATACCTAATTGCAAATTCAAATGTATCCCTATCGTGTTTTATGACTTCCTTGCTATTGTATGTGGGCTGCAACTGGTCTGTGACCGAAATAATAAAATTCATTCATACTGGGCAGGACTTTCAACCCAGGGGAATTTTTAGCAGGCACCACAAAGAGCACAATTAGTTCTAAAGTGTTGACGCTGCCACACCGAATGACTCAGTTCGTACAACAGCACAATGGGTCATATGTGACACTTGTGTCAGTGCCAATTCTGCTGATCGACATGTTTGAGAGAGCACATGTAGAGTAAGGCAATCTCATAGGTAAACTAGTCCCAAATTGATACGGGTTTTATGTGCTAATAGTAACAGAATCATAGAATTATAAGATGGTACAGTTGGGAGGCACCAAGACTCCCCAAAATTCCCGGGTCCAACAGGAGGTAGAACTGAATCCATGCTTGGAGGGTTAACCTGGGTGCTAGGCACAGAAGCAAAAGTTAAAATATAATCCGAGTTCAGGAAATCGCCTGGGAGATGAGCCATTGGGAAGAGCGAAAGGAAGGCGACGAGCCATTCAGAAACCCAAATGGATGGCAAATGAAAGGGCAGCCTCCCTTGAGCATAGCTGTCAACTTTTCCCTTTTCTCGCGAGGAATCCTATTCAGAATAAGGGAATTTCCCTTTAAAAAAGGGAAACGTTGACAGCTATGCCCTTGAGTCTGAAGAACAGGCAGAGTTGGAGAGTTGAGTCTTGGATTGGAGTTGGCTGCAAGGTGACTGACTTGGTCAAGGTGTCCATGGCTCATATCTGTCAGAAGCCACAGCTGCACCTGTGGGAGAATAAAGACCCTTCTAGGGTGTTGAGGCCAGGAACCTCTCCATTGTAGGCTCAGCTTGCATCCTAAAGACACTCCCGTCTCCACTGTGCCTCCTTTCTCAAAGGAATCACAAATGCGAGGGAAACACTGGGATTCCTGGGGTATCGCGATGCACGGAGATCGGGGTGGCATGTGACAAGATGAATCCCCAATCCGTGGGTTTCTGCGATGCTTATTTCCCAAACCCTAGAAAACACAAGCAGGAGAGGGAGGGCCAAAGAAAGCCGCGTCTCTTGCGTGGAAGTCTTTCAACTGAGCTTTCTTTTCCAGGAATGGCACCTGTACCCAAACAACCAAGAACTTTATGCACACCAACCGACCCGGTATATTCCAAGTTCCCAGTAGGTATAAGAGCCACGAGTCTTGCTCATATCTTGTTATGGAGGTGCGGCTTGGGTCTGAGATTGGGGGGTGTCAGTGTCGTGTCATGCATGCCCGTGATGGAGCCCACTGCCATGTAGCTTTGATGTGTCAACCCCCCCCTTTGTTTTAAGCAGACCTCAGAAGCAGGAAGCCCCTTTCACGCCAGCTTGGGCAATTGCAGGGGTAGGAGGAAAGCTTTCTGCCACATGGCTGCTTCTTAGGGGCAAGCTGGAAACTGCCCATGTCTCCCACTTGGCCTTGAGCAAGCAAGTTTGTGCCCAGGAGCCAGTGTGAGAGCCAGTCTGGTGTAGCGGTTAAGAGCGGTAGTCTTGCAATCTGGGGAACCGGGTTCGCTTCGTCGCTCCTCCACATGCAGCTGCTGGGTGACCTTGGGCTAGTCACACTTCCTTGAAGTCTCTCAGCCCCACTCACCTCACAGAGTGTTTGTTGTGGGGGAGGAAGGGAAAGGAGATTGTTAGCCGCTTTGAGACTCCTTCGGGTAGTGATAAAGCAGGATATCAAATCCAAACTACTCTTCTTCTTCTCTTCAGGAAGCCCTGCCAACAGTGGAGCCTCACCCCTTCCCTCTCTCCCTCATTTTGGTGGCACTGCCCCCTGGAGGCAGCTCCCTTCAGTTTCCCTTTGAGCCACGGGCTGAGGATGCAAATGGTGTCCTCGCTACGTGCCCTGAAGCCGAGCCCGGGAGCACACTCGCATTGCCAGTCTGCTGCCAGCTGCAGAGTGAATAATAATAATAATAATAATAATATATTATTTACACCCCGCCCTCTCCGGGCGCCTCCCAACAGAATATTAAAAACATGACAAAACATCAAACATTAAAGACTTCCCTAAACAGGGCTGCCTTCAGATGTCTTCTAAAAGTCAGATTGTTGTTTATTTTGGTCCAGTATATCTGAAGGAGCGTCTCCACACTCATCGTTCTACCTGGACACTGAGGTCCAGCTCCGCTGCCCCCAGGTTATCTCATCCAACCCCCCTAAAAGGCAGGAATCTCAATTCAAGCATCCCTGATGGATGGCTATCCAACCTTTGCTTCCAAAACCACCAAGAACCGAGAGTTCACCCCTCCCGAGGGAGTCGAAGTGCTCTTACTTTCACAAAGTTCTTCCTGATGTTGAATCGCAGTCTCCTTTCTTGTAACTTGGAGCCATGGGTTCGAGTCCTACCCATGGGAGGAACCAAAGTGAGCCGTTCTGGGGGAGAGGGTCGGGAGAGGGACCGCACCTTCGTGGATTTCCAAGGGTTCAATGTTAGAATTTACCGTTACTTTTAACGGTGGTCGGTCTTGGCAAAGGCGGGGGACACTTCTTCGGGCCCAGAGTTTCATCTTTGTAAATCCCCCCCCCCCAAAAGCTATATCAAATGAGGTGGCAGGAGATCTTGTGAATATTTAAAGTGGCTAAGAGTGTTGCTTCTGCTGCTCCCTAGACCTTCGAGCACAGATATGGGGCAAAGTTGTCTTATAGCTAACGTCTTATGGTGTTTCTTGTGCAGACAAATCCACAGTTCATGTCATGGCTGCTGATTATGATAGATATATAATTTTCCATGTGACGTTGGACACTTACGCGGCGATATATCTGTCTGGTACGTGTTCTAATGTCGGATGGGGCAGATCTGCTTTCTTCGGGCTCATCCCCACTTAGCTTTGCTCTGCAAAGCTCCTTGTCCAAGAATTTTTAATTTTATTTCTGCCCCAGCGCTGGGGAAAAGTCAGCGCCTTTGTAGGCTTTCGACTCCTTTAGACCCTCCATCAAAGCACTACCTTGGCTCCATGATGGAATCTGTTCCTGACTGTCTGATGGGTCATCCGGGGAAGATGGCAGGAAGAAGATACTTTAGATGTTTTATGAATGTCGAACAGAGATTTGGGCCTTTCCAGGTTAAAAGACTTACCCAACCTTTGCTTGTGTTTAAAGGTAGGAGACTGGACGTTGGAGGCGCCATTGAAGATAAATTCAAGGATTTCGCCTTGGCTCAAGGATTTCCCGAGGGGAACATCAGATTCTTTGAAAGAGCCGGTAAGGCAAGCGGGTCTCAGCGGCAGAGCAGCAGACTCTCAATCCCAGGGTTGTGGGTTCGATAACCACGTTGGGCAAAATATTCCTGCATGGTAGGGGGTTCGACTACATGACCTTTGGGGTCCCTTCCAACCCTACAATTCAGTTATTAAATATGTGTGCGCATGCATGCACACACACACACTTACTTTATCTCCTGTTCTTTCACGGGCAGAATACAGTCATACCTTGGGTTACAGACGCTTCAGGTTGTGCATTTTTGGGATACGGATGTGCCGAAACCCGGAAGTACCAGAAGGGGTTACTTCTGGGTTTTGGTGTGTGCGCTTGCACAGAAGTGCTAAATCACACTTTGCCCATGCGCAGAACTGCCGAATCGCAACCCGCGTGTGCGCAGATGTGGCGCTGCGGGTTGTGGGCGCTGCGGGTTGCGAACGTGCATCCCACACGGATCACGTTCGCAACCCGAGCGTCCACTGTAGGTTTGTAAGTTCTTATTTAGTTAGTTAGTTAGCTATTACATTTGTATACCACTCTGAGGGCCAGCTCCGAGGGCCTTCTGGTGCTTCCCTCACTGCGAGAAGCCAAGTTACAGGGAACCAGGCAAAGGGCCTTCTTGGTAGTGGTGCCCGCCCTGCGGAACGCCCTCCCATCAGATGTCAAAGAGAACAACAACTACCAGACTTTTAGAAGACATCTGAAGGCAGCCCTGTTTAAGGAAGCTTTTAATGTTTGACAGATTACTGTATTTTAGTGTTTTGTTGGAAGCTGCCCAGAGTGGCTGGGGAAGCCCAGCCAGATGGGCGGGGTATAAATAATAAATTATTATTATATTATTATCTTCATCTGAAGACCTCAGGGTGTTTCACAACATAAAAGTACAAGACAAAAATATAAGATAAAAACACAAAGAATAAAAACAAGAACGAAATGAAAAAATAAGGGCCCCCCCAAAAAAAACCCCACAAGATCTACTGTTTCTAAATTTATCAGTTTATTAACTATGTTGATTGGCTCAGTTTTGAACTAGGATGGCGAGATACTAATATTCCTAATAAATAAATATCAATCGTCCCGTTTCTTTCCTCTTTACCAATTTTCCTGACCCTCTTCTCTCCTTTCCTCCACAGAACAATGCACTCCACAAGTGGATTAATTCCTAATACCCAGAAATGGCATTTCTTTACTCTCTCTGTGTGTGTAAATATATAATCATTGGTGAATAATCGGAAACACTTGTTAATAGTTACTCTGTCCGGATGACGGCGGCAATGATGATGGAACGACGTCTTCCCCTCCCTGTCTCTGACCTCTAAAAGTTGATGCTGCAACAACGACAAGAACAAACCTTCCTTCAGGTTCCCACACCTCCCCCAAACTGATTTCAAAATAAATCTATAGCTCAGACTTGGCAAGCTCCCCTCTTGGCCAGGAGCATTATTGTGGGGGGAACAGAATGGCTATGACGGGAGGGGGGTGAACACATATGAACCAGGCAGAGGGCCTTCTCGGTTGTGGCGCCCGCCCTGTGGAACGCCCTCCCATCAGATGTCAAGGAGATAAACAACTATCTGACTTTTAGAAGATATCTTGAAGGCAGCCCTGTTTAGGGAAGTTTTTAATGACGGATGTTTTAATGTATTTTTAATATTTTGTTGGAAGCTGCTCACATTGGCTGGGGAAACTAAGCCAGATGGGCGGAGTATAATTTATTTTTATTTTTATCATTATCTTTATACAGGGTAAAGGACCCCTGACCGTTAAGTCCAGTCGAGAACGACTCTAGGGTTGCGGTGCTCATCTCACTTTACTGACCGAGGGAGCCAACGTTTGTCCGCAGACAGTTTTTCCGGGTCATGTGGCAAGTATGACTAAGCCGCTTCTGGCGAAACCAGAGCAGCATATGGAAATGCTGTTTACTTTCCCGCCAGAGCGGTACCTATTTATCTACTTGCACTTTGACATGCTTTCGAACTGCTAGGTTGGCAGGAGCAGGGGACCGAGCAACGGGAGCTCACCCCGTTGTGGGGATTTGAACCGCCGACCTTCTGATCGGCAAGCCCTAGGCTCTGTGGTTTAACCCACAGCACCACCTGCATCCCCAAAATTATTATTATTATGTATTTTAATATTTTGTTGGAAACCGCACAGAGTGGCTGGGGAAGCCCAGCCAGATGGGTGGGGTATAAATAATAAACTATTATTATTATTATTATTATTATTATTATTATCAAGCTGCCTCGTGGGTGCTCTGCTCCAGAAAATGCCAGCTTCAACTCCCCTTCCATGCCCATAGGCCAGGCTGCCTGGGACTGATGGAGTCAGTGCCCAACATCTTTTGACGGGCACCTCTGTGCCCTCCTACATTCTCCCGATGAAAAATAGGGTCGTCCTATGAGAACAGGCAGGACAGTGCAGGATCCAATCAGAAACCGGGACAACTTCTGTAATTTATGCCGCCACAGCTGGAGGGAGCGATGCTTCTGAATCCCAGTTGCTGGGAACCCCAGGAGGGGGCCGGGCTCCGGTGTTCGAATCCTGCTTGCTGCTTTCCCCGCAGGCATCTGGTCGGCCACTGTGGGAACAGGAAGCTGGACTAGATGGGCCATTGCCTGGAAAAGGCTGGCCGAGTTCATATTTCTTTGTGATCTTGTGGCTGACAAGCAAAGCTGGAAGCGAGGGCGGGCAATGGCCTCTTTTTGGGAGGGTATTTCTACCTGTTGTTTCCCCAAATAAAGCTCAATAGGGGGCGCTATCCTTAAAAACCCTCAACAAATTTGACGAATCCGCCAAAGATGCTCAACAACTTCGGATGCCCCCAACATCGACTTTGTCCGACGGGTCCTGGTGATGTTTATTTACTGCTTATTCCTCACTTGCTTGCTCTACCGCGGAGATCACCGAGCCGTGTGCCTGAGAAGCGAGGAGTTTTCTAATCTGATAAAAAGGGAATAAACACCGCGCGCCTGCGTTACCCCGCTCCCGCCCGCGTTTTCAAGGACCTTCGGCCTGATCCAGAGGGCGGGGATCCTTTTAGCTTCTCCAGCCGAGGCGCTCGTCGAGGCCACCGGCAGCCACGCGCCTGAGAGACGCGGGGCCGTCTGCACGCGCTCAGAGGCGCTCTCGTCGGCCGAGGCCGAGAGGGCGGCTCGCTTGGGTTTGGCAGGGGGTGTGTCCCAACAGGAGCGGCGCGCAGGGACCTCCCCGGGCTTAAAAGCACCTCCCTCGGCGCGCCGCGGCGCTGTGCAATGGAGCTGGACGCGGTGGATGGGGCGCCCGGGCGGTGCGCTTTTACGCGCGTGGGGACCCCTTGAGAGCGCCCTGCCGACGGAGCCTCCAGCAGCAGGCGGAGGTAAGGAGATCAGGGCGGCGGGGGGAAAAGACTTTCCACGCGTCCGCAGAGAAGGGCTGGCTGGATAGCTTTCACGGGAGACGGGGCGGACGGCGAGTCGCCTTTCCCCGGCGAGGAGGACCGAGGACCGTCCGCGCTCTCCGCCATCTCCGTCCTCTCTCCAAATCCGGGCGCGGCAGCCCTCGCCATCCCGGAGTCTCTCTTTGCAGTGCCCGGCTCTGGAAAGCGGGGCTCTCTCTTGGAAACTTGCGGAGGGCGCCGCTCCGAACTTTGGGGGCTAAGAATGCGGGCGAGAGGGCTCCTGAGCGCGCGCAGAGTGCGCTCAGGGCTGACGACTTCTGGACAGCCTCTTTGCCTGCCCGCCTCTTCTTGCTTCAGATAGGACTGTATTCGTCCAGAGCAACCGGGTCCGCTGGAGAAGTTGGATCTCTCCCTCGGGGCTTGGGGGGGCTACCGCGGATGCAGCTGTGGCCCCTCGGAGAGAGAGTTTCCGAATATCCCCCTCCCCAGCCCTAATACTCTGAGACGTGCCAAGGCCTGGCGCTGCCTGCTCAGTCCGCTTGCCCTAGCCTGGCGGTGGTGGGGCTCAGATCAGCAAAAAGGAAATGTTCTCTGCACATGCTCTGGAGCACTCTTGCCTTTATTCTTCTTGTGCCAGGGTCCGGACCCCAGAAGTGAAAACTGGTTGCCAGTTCATAGGGTCTGTGTAGTGTGTGTATATGTGTGTAATTCGATGCCACCGCAGCGACGACAATGGCGTCCTTCATTGCAAACAACTTTCCTTCTGAATTTTTAACCATGTTTTGGAATCTGGCAAAACCATGCCATGGCATTGGATTACTGGTACTGCCATGAAACCAGACCCTGGGTTGGGAAAAAAAGAAAACAACCCCACAGGATATGTTGTTGCTTGTGTTACACACACACGCACACACACACACACACACACACTATTTTTGGAGTGAGAAGGGCTCCAGCTATTTTGTTTGTCAGCTGCTAAAAATCCACAACTTCAGCTGTTAAAAAAGGGTCCCCAGCAAAATAGAATACATAGCCCCCTTGGTGGGATTTATATCCTCAAAGTCAGGACAGAGATAATGGTTAGAATGAGGAAAAAAAGGAAGGCAGCAGTTAATATTGATAAAGCTGATTCAGCAGCAGGCAAAAATCTGAAAACAGCCAGGCCATCGGGAGCAAAGCAAAACTGAGAGGCAGGAACAATTCTTGAAAGCCGCCCTAAACAAGACTGAACTTGCCTCCTCAATGTGCAAAGTGGGGGTGGGTTAGCATGGGGGTTGCTGGTTCTCCCCCAGGACCCTGGAGCCCCCACCGTCCAGGCTGGCTCTTCCCAGCAATTCAGAGATGTTTTTCATCTGTTTCCAACGGCTAACTTTCACATCCTTTGCCCTTTGCTTCCTTTCCAACTTATAAATAAAGTCCAGGCCCCCCTCCCTCCTTAAGACATAGGAACTGGGGAGCAGGGGCTCAGCTGGGAAGTAAGCAAAGCCATATTCCTCCCCAGGGCTTTTTTCAGGCAGAACTCACCATAACTCAGTTCAGGCCCCCTCTCAGGTGGGTGCCATTACCGTTATAAGAGAACAAGGGAGGTGTTCGTGATGAACACCTGGCACCTCTTTTTCTAGAAAAATAGCACAGTTCCTCCCCCTCCTTTACAATACGATAATCTTTAGTGTCATTGTCCCGTACAGAACAACGAAATTGAAAAAACTACATCAGACATTCACAAGCCAACAAGCCTGCTATCCCAGCTATCCCAGCCTGGTTAGCCCCCTAAAAACTCTGATACCCCATAATTAAATATAATATACTCCCATAGAGACTACCTTACACTGCATTTAAAACCAAAATCACATTTGGATAGAAACTGTTCTAAAGGAAATGGAGCTACTCTAACGCTCCATCTCGTCTCCAGCCTTTGTGCGGTGTGTGTGTGTGTGTGTGTGGGAATCTAGTCTGATGAGATTGAAGAGCTGACACTGAAATTTGGGGAAATTTGGACATTTCTCTCCAACCCTGCCATTTCTGGCACCCATTTATGAAGTGTGTCGAGCTAACTTTTCCTCTCTGGTCTGCTGTCCCTAAAGGCCAGGGTGTAGGGTGAAATCAGGATCTACTGGCAGATCTCTGCGTGATTTGCAGTAGATCGGGGATGGTTTCTGATCCCCTGTTGTTTTAACAATACCAGCAACAAAACGATGGCAACTCTCACATTCCTAAATTATACTGAACAGTAACCAGGCTTGGTTTTTCTGTGTGATCGCTGCTCACTTCGGATACTCAACAGCAAATTTGTGGGCTCAGTGTTCTTTAATTCTGTCTCAGTGTTCTTTAATTCTGCACCAGGATTTGGCTGGTGGAGATTGGGGCTCCAGTGCCCCCACAAAAAAGCCTGCAATCTGCCCACCTTTTCCCTAAATTGTTCTGTAGCATCTGGATTCTGCACCCAGGAAAACTTGGTGCGTAGTGACTTTTGGTTAGTTTGCTCTTCTGCGAGCCTTGGGAAATTGCTTTGCAGAGCATGGAATTCTCCCTGCAAACCCTGACCGTGGTGATTTTATTGTCCCCTAATATACAGTATGTTCCTTATTTTGCTACACTATGAGCTGTGCCCTAACAAGTCACCCGCTTTCAATTTTCCTTTAACCTTCTGAGCAGAACAAGGTTCCCCTTTGGTTCTCTGATATTCCACCCAATTGCATGGTTTCAAGTTTCCTTGCGTCCACGAGGGCTAGGAACTTGACTTAGAGAAAAGGAGTCTTGCGACAATTGGGGTGCTTCACTTTGTGCCAGGCAGCAAAACTGCTTGCAGGACCTTGATCCCAGATGTGCAGAATGAACCAGTCAAGCCACTGTATTTTGGAAAGGGAGATGCATTCTGCCAACTATAATTTATGGTAGCCAGTGCTTTGTGACAGTCTTCAAAGGTGCCGCAGCAACCTTGCTAGGCAGATCTCTGACATCCTGTAGTTTTACACCCAAAGGGCTGAAGCTGAGAGCCCAGGCACGCTTGACTTTATTTTTCTTTCTTCTTGGGGTGAAATGCTTGCCATTCCACGCTTGACAACTGCTGCTTCATTCCTGACATGTCAGCGCAAAAACAAACAAACCCCAAAATAAAACAGAAACAAACAAGAAACAGTTTGCTAGTCTTCATTGTAAAACAAAAGTTGAACTTTTGTGCTTTTGAGAATGCTTGAAGCATAGCATCCTTACGGTTACAATGAGGAAAATGGAGTTTGCTTCTGCTGCCCTGATGTGAAACACACCTACTTAGGAATAAGACCATTTCGTTGTAGAAATGGGTAATAGTGTGGTGTAGTGGTTAGAGCAGTCATAGGCAAACTCGGCCCTCTGGATGTTTTGAGACTACAATTCCCATCATCACTGACCACCGCTCCTGTTAGCTAGGGAAGATGGGAGTTGTAGTCCCAAAACATCTGGAGGGCCGAGTTTGCCTATGCCTGGGTTAGAGTGTTGGACTAGGACCTGGGAGGGCAGGACTCCAATCCACACTTGGCCATGTAGCTCACTGGGTGACCTTGGGCCAGTCACTGTCCCTCAGCCTACTCTACCTCACAGGGTTGTTGTGGGGGTTAACCGAGAGGGGAGAACCAGGTATACCAGCTTGAGTTCCTTGGAGAAAAATGGGAGCTATAAATGCAATAAAAATGGTGATGATGAGGATCATCATCATCACAATAACATAATTTTTGTCATACAGTGAGCTTCTGTGACCATGCACATTCCTGACCGTTAGTCATGCTCCCAGAAGCGTCAGCATCATATGGGACTTGCAGCTCAGTTGGTTAGAGCATGATGATGATGATAATAATAATAATAATAATTTTTATTTATACCCCGCCCTCCCCGGCCAGAGCTAGGCTCAGGGCGGCTAACACCAATAAAATCACAGTAAAAACATAATAAGGGGAAAAGAAGAAGAAGAAGAAACCATTTTAAATACAGGTTAAAATGCAATTTAAAATGCAGCCTCATTTTAAAAGTAGCCAATAGATCAAGACCATAAGGGGAGGGAAACATAAGTGTCAGACTGAGTCTGAACCAAAGGCCAGGCAGAACAGCTCTGTCTTGCAGGCCCTGTGGAAAGATGTCACGTCCCGCAGGGCCCTAATTTCTTGGGACAGAGCGTTCCACCAAGTCGGGGCCAGTACTGAAAAGGCCCTGGCCCTAGTTGAGACCAATCTAACCACCTTGCGACCTGGGACCTCCAAAATGTCATTTGTGGACCTTAAGGTCCTCCGCGGGGCATACCAGGAGAGGCGGTCCCGTAGGTACGAGGGTCCTAGGCCGCATAGGGCTTTAAAGGTCAAAACCAGTACCTTAAACCTGACCCTGTACTCCACCAGGAGCCAGTGCAATTGGTAAAGCACTGGATGAATGTGATGCTGATACTGTAATGCCAAGGTTGCAAGTTCGATTCCCGTATGGGACAGCTGCATCTTCCTGAAGTCTGCAAAAGCTGGTTAGGATGTTCATAGCTGGCATAAGGGGCACCCAGGCAGAGTGGACATCTTGGTCTAGATTGCAGGGTAGCCCAGTGATTGAAAAATGGCATGTGCCGTAATAATAAATGAAAATTCAGAGCCAGTGGCGCTGGGCCTGTGTGCATTTTGCCATTGGAACTGCGAAACATTCCATATGCAAGCTTGAAAAAGAAGCACAGTTCCCGAAATGAGTCTGGAACTGGAACGGGACGTTAAACCCCATGTTCTTCAGCTGGGTAAGTCAGGAGTGATTGCGAGGGGTTGTGCCAAATTGGGTGGCATATGAGGAGGTATCTGGGGAGATGTGGGTGAGGGGCCTGAGAAGGGCATAAGTGGCACTTAGCATAAGGTGGGCAGCCTGGGAGAAAGGCTTGTAGGTTCAGGAGATCTTTGGACAATGGAGGGAGGTGGAGCTACAGGAAGGAAGGGCACAGGTTGGGCATCTGTTGGGGCATGAAACTGGAGAGGTGGAGGGTGGCAAGAGGCAGGCGAGGAGAGGGCTGCCTCTTGCACCTTTTTGCCAGCTGAAATGCCATCTTCAGCTCACCTGTTAAACGGGCAGGAGCCTTGCCCTCTTTTTCATTGGGGCACCAGGAGCAGCCCCTGGTGTGTATCACTCTTTGCAACTGCCGCTAGGAAAATTAGAGCAAATTATATAGCCAAGATAGCCACCAACTGTAAAGGAGATGGATTTATTTGACCCTATCTACATCAAGCTAAAAGGGATGCGGGTGGCTCTGTGGGTTAAACCACAGAGCCTAGGACCTGCCGATCAGAAGGTCGGTGGTTCGAATCCCCACGAAGGGGTGAGCTCCTGTTGCTCGGTCCCTGCTCCTGCCCACCTAGCAGTTCGAAAGCACCTCAAAGTGCAAGTAGATAAATAGGTACCGGTCCGGCAGGAAGGTAAACGGCGTTTCCGTGCGCTGCTCTGTTTCGCCAGAAGCGGCTTAGTCATGCTGGCCACATGACCCGGAAGCTGTACGCCGGCTCCCTCAGCCAATAAAGCAAGATGAGCGCCGCAACCCCAGAGTCGGCCACGACTGGACCTAATGGTCAGGGGTCCCTTTACCTTTACCTTTACATCATAGAATCATAGAATCATAGAGTTGGAAGAGACCACAAGGGCCATCGAGTCCAACCCCCTGCCAAGCAGGAAACACCATCAGAGCACTCCTGACATATGGTTGTCAAGCCTCTGCTTAAAGACCTCCAAAGAAGGAGACTCCACCACACTCCTTGGCAGCAAATTCCACTGTCGAACAGCTCTTACTGTCAGGAAGTTCTTCCTAATGTTTAGGTGGAATCTTCTTTCTTGTAGTTTGGATCCATTGCTCCGTGTCCGCTTCTCTGGAGCAGCAGAAAACAACCTTTCTCCCTCCTCTATGTGACATCCTTTTATATATTTGAACATGGCTATCATATCACCCCTTAACCTCTTCTTCTCCAGGCTAAACATGCCCAGCTCTCTTAGCCGTTCCTCATAAGGCATCGTTTCCAGGCCTTTCATCAAGCTATAGTCTATCTTTATCACCAAACTCCAAATATAATTGCACATTGTATTAATTATTTTTTAATATATTAGTGGCCATGTGACGATTTTAGCCTATAGATTTTATTGTTTAATGTCTTAACCTGTATATTAAGGTAATTTTATAGCTCTGTTGAGAGTAGGTAATGTCTTGATAATATAAATGTTTTAAGTTTTTTGTATTAATCCAGCATATTTTCTTTTCATTGTTGAATGATTCTGTGTACACTGCGGCAGCCTTTGGCTATGTGCAATAAAACTGACTGACCAGGAGCAGCCTTTGCCAACCTGGTGCCCTCCAGATGTTGTTGGGCTTCCTCAGTGGTGGGATTACCTGGTGGGGGCACTAAGAGGCTGGGGTGGGGGCTCTGGAGGTGACCCTCAGGCTTTGCAAGGCTGGCGTTGCGGGATCATGTTCATCAGTTTGGTTGGATTAATTCAACCAAAGAGTTGGACCGGGATTTTGAATGCAATTAATTGCTGCTGTTTTGAACCCCACTGTGCTTTTCTCTTCCTTAGTGGGCTGTGCAAACTGTTGCTCTGAGAAATGCATTTTATAGGGTAGGGTGGGGTCTGTTTATGGAACTAAGGGGGTGGTGCCCCCCCTCCAAAAGTTTGGAAAAAGTTCATCTTTGGCTAGCTGCTTCTAATTGGAGCCTCCCTCCTGCTGACTCATGTTTATATATGAGATATATATTTATACCCACACATACATATATACACGGTCTGTCGTTCTCAAGGCCGTTTTTGGGTGCTGCCGCGGCATCCCAGATGGACCACGAGATGCTTCTTGGGACGCTGCCTGAGAGAGACTCCCTCCTTCCCAATCCTGCTCCTACCTTGAAGTTCTGCAAGCAGCCCGCCCATCCGGCTGGCGTCGAAATCTCCTGCTCCCCGCAGTTTGAAAGTTGTTTGGATGTAACGCAACGTCTTCCGGGACGGTTTCTCTCCCCCCACCCCCCACCCCAGATGGGAATGATTTATGCCTGTTTGCCTTGGGCTGGTGTCCAAGGCAGATAAGCAGAAGCAGGGCTTCTGAGAACGGTTACTTCTCCACCGCAAGTGGACCGGGAACTTTGTGGACCACTCGCTTTGGGAGGAAGCAGCCATTGGCAAAAAAAAAGAGCTGATCTCAGATCGATTCCCTCTCTCTTTCTCTCCCTGCTGTTGCAGAAGATGACTCTGAACACCCAGCGAGGAGGCAGCGCCAGCCCTGCCAGAAGGCGTGCCAGCACCCCGCTGCCCATGCCCTATGGGTCTCGCCCAGGGATGCTGAGCGTCCGTCCCAGCCAGGCTGAACCAGGCCACCCGCAGCTGGGGCAGTCATCCTCCTGTGACCCCAAAGTCCACTTGCCTGAGCCCCGTGGCAGCTGGTCGTCCGAGTCCTCCGACTCTGAGGAGTCCTGGGAATCCTTGTACCGCGTGGTGCTGTTGGGCGACCCTGGCGTGGGCAAGACCAGCCTGATGTACCTCTTTGCTGGGGTTCAAGACAAGGATCTGCCTGAGCAGCAGAGAGGTAGGGCTGTCGTGTGATTAATAATAATAATAATAATAATAATAATAAATTTTATTTATACCCCGCCCTCCCCAGCCAAGGCCGGGCTCAGAGCAGCTTACAAGCAATAATAAAAACAAGATGAATGATTACAACTTAAAAACAAAAATAAAATACAACATTAAAATAATGGAACATTAAAATATTAAAATGTAGCCTCATCGCAGGAGGAGAAGGAAAAGAAAAAAGAGAGGGAAAGAAGAAATCAGATCCTGCAGGGCCCTGGTCTCATGAGGCAGAGCGTTCCACCAGGCCGGAGCCATCACTGAAAAGGCCCTGGCTCTGGTTGAAGCCAGTCTAACTTCCTTAGGGCCTGGGACCACTAGGGTGTTGCTATTTATGGACCTTGAGGCTCTCCGTGGGGCATACCAGGAGAGGCGGTCTCGTAGGTACGAGGGTCCCAGGCCGTGAAGGGCTTTAAAGGTCAAAAGCAGCACCTTAAATCTGACCCTGTACTCCACCGGGAGCCAGTGCAGCTTGAAAAGCACAGGGTGAATATGCTCCCATGGCAGAGACCCCGTGAGGAGCCTCGCTGCAGCATTCTGCACCCGCTGGAGTTTCTGGGACAGCTTCAAGGGCAGCCCCGCGTAGAGACAATTACAGTAGTCAAGCCTGGAGATGACCTTCGCATGGATCACTGTGGCCAGGTCGGGGCGGGAAAGGTAAGGGACCAACTGTCCCTTACACCAATTTGTGGGGGGCTGGGGAGGAATGAGAGGGGGCTGGGGGGCGGGTTCCAACTGCCTAGAAAAAGCCCTTGTGGAGTATCAGTGGTGTGAACTAGCATCACTCAGTTTATTTCCTTGTTAATAATAATAATAATAATAATAATAATAATAATTTTTACCCCGCCCATCTAGCTGGGTTTCTGCAGCCACTCTGGGTGGCTTCTAACAAAGCTGTGCCAGTCCAGCTCACGGACAATCTCTGTGGGAGTGATCCGGCCCCTGGCCGGCAAACCTTGCTGCCCCCTGTGATAGACGCTCCTCAGCGGCGTAGCGTGGGGGGTGCAGGGGGGGCCGGCCACACCGGGCGCAACATCTGGGGGTTAGGGTTAGGGGCGCAAATCCACGGGTTAGGGGGCGCAAATTACTTGCCTTGCCCCGGGTGCTGACAACCCACGCTACGCCACTGACGCTCCTGGCCACTGAGGTCACCTCTGCTTCTCTTGACAAGGATCATTTACACCTCTTGCCCTTAAGGAGAGCCTCCTGGATCAGGTCCATGGCCCATCCAGTCCAGCATCCTGTTCTCACAATGGCCAACCAGATACCCATTATGGGAAACTCACAAGTAGTTTCCAGCAGGTGGTCTTTGGTGCCTCCAACTGCTGCCTCCAATTGTGGAGGGCAAAGCATAGACCTCCTGGCTAGGAGTCTTCAATAGCCCTCTCTCATCCCTGAATTTGGCCATCACGGTCTCCTGTGGGAGGGAGTTCCACAGTCTAACGACGCGCTGCATGAATAAGGTGTCATGCGCTGGGCCCAATGAAGTTTTCTGGGGTAGGTGCAGCTTCTGTTCCTCATGGTGACCATTCCCTGCTGATCCTGACCTTTTCTGCTCTTTTCAGAGGATACCTACGAGCGCACCTTATCGGTGGACGGCGAGGAGACAACGTTGATGGTGATTGACACCTGGGAAGCTGAGAAGCGGGTAGGCCAATGGTCTTGATAGATCACGACTAGATTGCACAACTAGCAAGGAGGATTCATAGAATGGGGAAACAGAAGGGGAAAGCTTCAGGGAGAGGAGGAGCTAAAAGTTGCTGCTCTCTTAAACTAAGCTGATAGAGAAGCGCTTCCCTTTCCTTCCTCTGTTGCAGCCTGATGGAATAGCTGATGCCAGGGGACATTGCAGGGAGGAGCCTGATGGAAGTATGATCCAGGGAACCAGGCAGAGGGCCTTCTCGGTAGTGGCCCCCGCCCTGTGGAATGCCCTCCCAGCAGATGTCAAAGAGAAAAACAACTACCAGACTTTTAGAAGACATCTGAAGGCAGCCCTGTTCAGGGAAGCTTTTAGTGTTTAATAGGTTATTGTATTTTAGTGTTCTGTTGGAAGCCACCCAGAGTGGCTGGGGAAACCCAGCCAGATGGGTGGGGTATAAATAATTTCTTCTTCTTCTTCTTCTTCTTCTTCTTCTTCTTCTTCTTCTTCTTCTTCTTCTTCTTCTTCTTCTTCTTCTTCTTCTTCTCTGACTGTTTGACTCGGAAAGTGATTATTTTGCATAGGAACATGGGAAGCTTACTAAAAGTGCTGAACAAATGACCTAAATTGAGGAGAGATCTGCTAGGACATGGGTAGGCAAACTAAGACCCGGGGGCCGGATCTGGCCCAATCGCCTTCTAAATCCGGCCCGCGGATGGTCCGGGAATCAGCGTGTTTTTATATGAGTAGAATGTGTCCTTTTATTTAAAATGCATCTCTGGGTTATTTGTGGGGCATAGGAATGTGTTCATATATTTTTTCCAAACTATAGTCCAGCCCCCCCACAAGGTCTGAGGGACAGTGGACCGGCCCCCTGCTGAAAAAGTTTGCTGACCCCTGGTTTAGACCACAGGACCAGGCTAGGATCATGGCGGTCCGAGGCAAGAGAACACACATCTCTGGCTTCTGGGCGACTGAATTGTCTGCTCTGCTTCATCCAGCCAGCTCTTGCTGGAAGTGCCATTGTCCTTTTACACACACACACACACACACAGAGAGAGAGAGAGAGAGAGAGAGAGAGCTGCCCTGTCTGTCTGCAGATTAAAAGCTTCTGCCTCTGGGCCCCGTTTGACACAGCCTCCTTGTCGATCCGTCAGTGGCCTCTTCCTGCCCGGGGAGCTTCTCTTCCAAGCCATCCCAGGCTGCCTGCTCAGCGCAGCGGAAGCAACACAGAACCAACCCAAACAAGATGCCGCCCCGTAGGAACAGGAAAGGCAACAGCAAGGTACCAGCCTGATCCTGCAGGTGTGCAGGATCTGGACGAGGAATGGAAGCAGCCTGGCTTTGTCTCTGCAGCTGGGCGCGGGGACAGCAAAAACACTTTTCTGTTTGGAAATGGTTAGGCATCCCTGCAAAGCTGCAAAATGGAACTCGCTCAGGGATGTAGGGAAGGAAGAAAGTTGCAGCTCATTTATGCTGGCTAAGATAATAATACAGTGGTACCTCAGGTTAAGTACTTAATTCGTTCTGGAGGTCCGTTCTTAACCTGAAACTGTTCTTAACCTGAAGCACCACTTTAGCTAATGGGGCCTCCTGCTGCTGCCGCGCCGCCAGAGCACGGTTTCTGTTTCTCATCCTGAAGCAAAGTTCTTAACCCAAGGTAATATTTCTGTGTTAGTGGAGTCTGTAACCTGAAGCGTATGTAACCTGAAGTGTATGTAACCCGAGGTACCACTGTAATAATAATAATAATAATAATAATAATAATAATAATAATAATTTCTTTTTTGTACCCTGCACATCTGGCTGGGTTTCCCCAGCCACTCTGGGTGGCTTCCAACAAAGATTAAAAATACATCAAAATGTCACACATTAAAAACGTCCCTGAACAGGGCTGCCTTCAGATGTCTTCTAAATGTCAGGTAGTTATTTATCTCTGACATCTGATGGGAGGGCGTGCCACAGGGTGGGTGCCACCACCGAGAAGGCCCTCTGCCTGGTTCCCTGTAGCTTTGCTTCTCGCAGTGAGGGAACCGTCAGAAGGCCCTCGGAGCTGGACCTCAGTGTCTGAGGTGAACGATGGGGGTGGAGATGCTCCTTCAGGTATACTGGACCAAGGCCATTTAGGGCTTTCAAGGTCAGCACCAACACTTTGAATTGTGCTCGGAAACGTACTGGGAGCCAGTGTAGGTCTGTCAGGACCAGTGTTATGTGGTCTCGGCAGCCGCTCCCAGTCACCAGTCTAGCTGCCGCATTCTGGATTTGTTGCGGTTTCCAGGACACTAGACCTCTCACTCTGGCCCTTGAGACGCTGCCAGCCACTTCCACTCTCCCAGCCTTACAACAACCCTGTAGGGTAGGCCACTCTTATCTCCATGCAACAGAAGCCTGACTAGGGCAACCTCATGATTCGAGGGAACTGAATCGGGAACATTGCAGCTTTTTCCCCAGCTGTGTGCCTCTCCACCCGGCCGGCTCTCAATCTAATGGAATGTTTTGCACTTATTTTTAATTGATTGCTTCCCATCGAAAGCTTTTGGAGATGAAGCAGCCGTGACAAATGTAAAGTGATCAATGGATGCTCCCACATGCAACGCTGGCAGAAACTCACAGCCGGGACTCCAGCCCGGGAAAAAACCACAGACAACGTGCCCTACGCTGGATCATCTGGCCCATGTTTCACCAGTCTGGGGTCCTTCCAGTTGTTTTGGACTGGGGATGATGGGAATGGTAGTCCAAAAAGTTCTGGAGGGCACCAGGTTGGCGAAGGCTGAGAATTCAGAAGCATCCATTCTTCGGTGATCAGCCTTCTTTATGATCCAGCTCTCACTTCCATACATCAATACTGGGAAAACGATAGCTTTAACTAGACGGACCTTTGTTGGCAAGATCTATCTAAAGATTAACAAACTACATCAAAGCTACCTCCTATCTTTATGACCCAGGATGCCCGATGAAGCAACTGGCCTGTGTATTTAGAATGCTGATACGTGCCTGTAAGGTGTAGAGAAAGCAAATGGCAGAGGTGCAGAGGCTTGTGGGATTTGATCAGAAATTATTGTCAATGAATCAAACCCAGTCAACGCAGTGCTTTCATCACGGACACAATGGCTTGATGCATATTTTATAATTTCTCATAGTAATCCCACCCGATTCCACACACTTTGGATATTTGCACCCCTACAGAACCCTCCTCCTGCCGCTTCCAGAGCCACCGCTGCTGCCCTGGGGAGCCGTGCTAAGTTGCCCTTTTGCCTTTCCCACAGGCCCCGGAGGAAGACAACTGGTTCCACAACTACTGCATGCAGGTGGGCAACGCCTACGTCATCGTCTACTCCATCACCGACCGGGGGAGCTTCGAAAGCGCCTCCGAGCTCCGGATCCAGCTGCGCAGGACCCGTCAGGCAGAGAACATCCCCATCATCCTGGTGGGGAACAAGACAGACCTGGTGCGCTCCCGAGAGGTGTCTGTGGAAGGTGGGTGGAAAAGGGCTTGGGCTGGACCCTCGTGGGGCCTCGGGAGGAATCCTGCTTTATTTTGGGGGCGGCGGGAGGGAGAAAGAGAAAAGCAAGGAGAAAGGCAATTTGGCGGTATGCTGTTTTGTTTCTGAATTTATCCTACGCTGCCTTGTGACGGCAATGTGCCCCGAAAGGTTGTTTTCAAACTGTGGAATTTCACTCCATAAGACGCACCTGACCATAAGACACACCTAATTTTTAGAGGAGGAAAGGGGGGAAAGTCCCGTTTTTGCAGGGATCAGCTCACAGTTGTGCAGCTTCTTTTACAAAGGGGAAAAGCTCCTTTTTTGAGGATCAGCTCAAAGTTGTTGAGCATACTTTGCAAAGGTAAAAAATCCTGTTTTTATGCGGTTCAACTCACAGTTCTGCAGCTTCTTTAGGAAAGCGAGCCATTTCTACAGTTTCCAGACAATCTAATCAGCCAGTCACATGTTGCTGGGGAAACAAACAGCCTCTGTCTGCAGAACATTCAACAATGGAGACCTAGGCAAGGGGGCTGGGTCGGAAAGGGAGCCAGCGATCAGCCACACATTCGCTCAATAAGACGCACAGAGATTTCTCCTTACTTTTTAGGAGAAAAAAGTGTATCTTATGGAGCAAAATATACAGTACATACAGTGGGTGCGCGGATTGCAATTTGGCACTTCTGCGCATGCGCAAAGCGCGATTTAGCGCTTCTGCACATGCTCGACCGCCGAAACCCGGAAGCCACCTGTTCCGGTACTTCTGTATTTCGGCGGCCCGCAACCCAATAAAACACAACCTAAAGCATCTGTAACCCAAGGTATGACTGTACCGTACTTTTCCGTGTACAGTCATCCCTCGGGTTACAGATGATTCGGGTTGTGTGATTTCGGGTTGCACACCGTGCTGAACCCGGAAGTACCGCAACGGGTTACTTCCGGGTTTCGGTGCTTGTGCATGAGCAGAAGTGCTAAATCGTGCTTTGCACAGAAGTGCCAAATTGCAACCCACACGTGCGCAGATGCGCGGGTCACGGGTTGCGAACGCTGCAGGTTGCGAACATGCCTCCTGCATGGATCACGTTCGCAACCCGACTGTCCACTGTATAAGACTAGGTTTATTTCCTTAAATATCATGCTAAAAAGTGGGGGTCGTCTTAGACATGGGTAGGTCGTGCATAGGGTGCGTCATTTTGGCGGGCGATTGGCAGCTTCTGCCAGTGAGGGGACAGACGTGATGCAGATTTTGTGATGCGTGTGGCTGAGCGATTTTCGGCATTCCCACCTAAAAGAAGCTCAACAACTTTGTGCCATCTCCCCACCCCCCACTATCTTAAATTTGAGTCCCCCAAAATAGGGGGCATCTTATACACGGAAAAATATGGTACATAATTTTAAAAGAAATACAGTATCCATAAATGAAAGCTACTTGATAGCACAGTCTCCCCCGAGATGTCTTGGAATGTCTGGAAACAAACGAAAGTGTGAATCCCCACAGCCCCCGGAGGTCTCCTGGCCAAAAGCAAATATTTGCACACAGACTTGATAAAAGCACATTTGATTAATTGACTTTAGATTTCTTTAATCCCTAGAAATAACCTCAGTGCCTCCAGACTGACAGTATTTTGTGGGAAGGAAGGCACATGTACCAGAACTTAATGCTTTGCATATTTAAAGTGGATTAAAGCCTTCAGTTGCCCAAGTGCAACAAATCAATTTTTTTTTAAAAAAACATTTTGCCCTTTGCCATTTGGAAAGCGACAGTGAGATGCACGGAGAAGTTTGGGATGAATGAATTATTTGCGGGAAGATGTGCAAACAGCCCACGACAATACAGTGGTACCTCGGGTTACATACGCTTCAGGTTACATACACTTCAGGTTACAGACTCCACTAACCCAGAAATAGTGCTTCAGGTTAAGAACTTTGCTTCAGGATAAGAACAGAAATCGTGCTCCAGTGGCGCGGAAGCAGCTGGAGGCCCTTTTAGCTAAAGTGGTACGTCAGGTTAAGAACAGTTTCAGGTTAAGTACGGACCTCCGGAACGAATTAAGTTCTTAACCCGAGGTACCACTGTATTAGGATGGACACAGGGTTTCCACCCTATAAAGACCGGATATAATCTAACCCCTTCATAAACTTTGTGCAAGCAGATTCGGATGAAACCTGAATGAAATATACTCAGAGTCAAGAGTGGATTTCATGCTCTTTATTCAGCTCATAGTGGCGAGGAGGAATGGAAGTTCCCCCAGAATATCTGCTTTATATACATTATTTACAAAAGGGGCCCCACATGACTGGCTAATTCCGGGATTCTCCTGTAGGCCAATCAGGTTGCGGATTCACTTCCACCTGGAGCATGATTGGGTGGCTCCTGTGGACAAATCAGACTGCTGCATTCTGGATTCTATTGTTCTAGGACCAATCAGACTGCTGCATTTTGGATCCTATTCAACTTAGTACATAACACTGAATAAACGGGTTGCATGGAGACATGGGTGTAGCCAGGGGGCAGGGAGGGGCAGCTAGCCCCCACCAATCAATAAAAAAATCAATAAAAATACATAGCTAACTGAGATTCTCCCCCCACCCACAAAGGCCTGCCCCGCCCAACAAAAATCCTGGCTACGCCCATGCATGGAGGGATCCGATTTAGGTCTTGTTTTGTTTTTGTTTTTTTAATAATTTTTATTAATTTCCCATTTAAACATATATAATCACACTATTATTATCCACTTTACTCCTTTGGCTCTTTAGAGCCTGTCAACTTCCTTCGCTCCCACCACTTGGCTTTCAAAACTAACCTTGATATCACAGCATTTTATATATTTTCCAGTTCTAATATAACTCATTACAAAATACCTCACAATTTAAATATAGAAAGGTAAGAAACTTCTCATGACACGTCTTCAGATAACCCTACTAGGGTTGTTAAATGTACTCCAGTCATTTTGGAATACTTGATCATGCTGGTTTCGGATTTTTCACGTCAGCTTTGCCAGTTCCACAAAGTCCCATCGTTTTCATCTGCCCCTCTTCTTTCGTTGGTACTTCTTGTGGTTTCCATTTTTGGGCTAAAAGAGTTCTTGCAGCAGTTGTTGCATACATAAACAGTCTTTTATCTCTCTTTTTGTGGTATCTCTTCACCTACTATACTCAGTGAAAAGGCTTCTGGTTTTTTTAACAAAAGTGTTTTTAAACATTTTCTTTAACTCATTATATATCATTTCCCAGAAAGCCTTTACAGCTTTACAAGTAATAATAATAATATTAATAATAATTGATTATTTATACCCCGCCCATCTGGCTGGGCTTCCCCAGCCACTCTGGGCGGCTTCCAAAAAAATATTAAAATACAGTAATGCATCAAACATTAAAAGCTTCCTTAAACAGGGCTGCCTTCAGGTGTCTTCTAAAAGTCTGGTAGTTGTTTTTCTCTTTGACATCTGGTGGGAGGACATTCCACAGGGCGGGCGCCACCACCGAGAAGGCCCTCTGCCTGGTTCCCTGTAACTTGGCTTCTCGCAGGGAGGGAACCGCCAGAAGGCCCTCGGCGCTGGACCTCAGTGTCCGGGCAGAACATTGGGGGTGGAGGTGCTCCTTCAGGTGTACTGGACCGAGGCCGTTTAGGGCTTTAAAGGTCAGCACCAACACTTTGAATTGTGTTGGGAAACGTAATGGGAAGCAATGCAGATCTCTCAGGACCGGTGTTATGTGGTCCTGGCGGCCGCTCCCGGTCACCAGTCTAGCTGCTGCATTCTGGATTAGTTGCAGTTTCTGGGTCACCTTCAAAGGTAGCCCCACATAGAGCGCATTGCAGTTGTGCAAGCGGGAGATAACAAGAGCATGCACCACATATGGTAGAAGATACCACGATTTAGGTTCCGTAGCTGGGTTTTCCTGGTGTTGGGTTTGGTCCGGAGATGGGAAGGCCTACCCTTAAATGTTGAAAGATTCAGTACAGATAAAAGGACGTCCTTCTACATGCAGCGCATAGTTAAACTACGGAACTCCCTTCTGCAGGAGGGAATGATGGCCACCAACTTTGGCTTTGAAAGAGGATTAAGCAGGAGCAGAGGACTAGTGATAGCTAGTAGCGGCTGCAATGCTTTTGAATACCAGCTGCTGGAAACGACTGGAGGGGAGAGGGCTCTTGCGTTCGAATCCTGCTTGCTGCTTTCCTTCCAGGGCATCTGGTTGGCCACTGTGGGCTCAAGGGGCCTGATCCTGATCCGGCAGGCTCTTTTGACGCCCTCACGTTCTCTGGGTCTCTCCCTGCCGCTCGCCTGGAGCATCTCCTAACCAGCTGCCAGTGTGGTGTGGTGGTTAAGAGCAGTAGACTCGTAATCTGGGGAACCGGGTTCGTGTCTCTGCTCCTCCACATGCAGCTGCTGGGTGACCTTGGGCCAGTCACACTTCTCTGAAGTCTCTCAGCCCCACTCACCTCACAGAGTGTTTGTTGTGGGGGAGGAAGGGAAAGGAGAATGTTAGCGGCTTTGAGACTCCTTCGGGTAGTGATAAAGCGGGATATCAAATCCAAACTCTTCTTCTTCTTCTTCTTTTCTCTCGGCAGAGGGCCGCGCCTGCGCCGTGGTCTTCGACTGCAAGTTCATCGAGACGTCCGCCGCCCTGCAGCACAACGTGTCTGAGCTCTTTGAGGGGGTGGTGCGGCAGATCCGCCTGCGCCGCGACAGCAAGGAGGCCAACGAGAGGCGCATGTCTCTCTACAAGCGCAAGGAGAGCCTCACCAAGAAGGTGCGCCGCTTCCTCGACCGGCTGGTGGCGCGCAACAACAAGAAGGTGGCGCTGAAAGTCCGCTCCAAGTCCTGCCATGACCTCTCCGTGCTCTGAGCGAACCGGACGCCACTGTCCTTCTCCTCTTCCTCCTCTTCCTCCTCCTGCTCTTGCCTCTGGTTTTTCCAGGGGTTTCCCTGGGCTTCATTCCCACATGTCCGTAGGCATTTGCAAACTCTCTTCTTTGCTAGGTTCTCTTAGGACACGGCCTTCCGATAGGGAGAAGCCAAAAACTGAGGGGGAACCAGAAGGAGATGTGCAGGGTCCTCCCAGAACCATTTTGGGTGATGGAGGAAGGACTTTGAGCGGCACCTCTGACTGCATCAGAAGGCAGAGCATTGAACTGGGACCATAGTGCGGATTCTGGGGGAGATGGCAGGCTCTCGCCCAGGGGTCAGCAACCTTTTTCAGCCATGGGCTGGTCCACCATCCCTCAGACCTTGTGGGGGGGCCGGACTATATTTCGGAGAGAGAAAAATGAACGGATTCCTCTGCTCCACAATAAAAGCACACATTCTACCCATGTAAAAACACCCTGATTCCCGGAACATCCACGGGCCGGACTTAGAAGGTGATTGGGCCAGATCTGGCCCCCGGGCCTTAGGTTGCCTACCCCTGCGTCTGGCACTTGGTTTTGCTTTGGAAGCATGCCAGAATAGGCTGTTATCCTGCTCGATCCTTTCGCCTGCCTTGTTTCTGAAATAGGACAATGATGCCAGGCTGGGGTTCCCTCTTGTACAGACATGGAGTATGCCTTTCTTTGGACAGCATCTATCTGATTGGACGCGGGTGGCGCTGTGGGTTAAACCACAGTGCCTAAGTCTTGCCAATCAGAAGGTCTGCGGTTCAAATCCCCGCGAGGGGGTGAGCTCCCATTGCTCGGTCCCACCTCCTGCCAACCTAGCAGTTCGAAAGCACGTCAAACTGAAAGTAGATAAATAGGTACCGCTCTGGCGGGAAGGTAAACAGCATTTCTGTGCGCTGTTCTGTTTCGCCAGAAGCGGCTTAGTCATGCTGGCCACATGACCCGGAAGCTGTACGCCGGCTCCCTCGGCCAGTAAAGCGAGATGAGCGCCGCAACCCCAGAGTCGTCCGCGACTGGACCTAATGGTCAGGGATCCCTTTACCTTTACCTTTGCTACCCACAATGGCTGTGTTCTGCTTCCATCATCGGAGCCACTATGCCTCTGTATACCAATTTCTAGAGACCACAGGTGAGGCAACTTCTGTTGCGCTCAGATCTTGCTTGTAGGCTTCAATTGGGTGCATCTGGTCAGCCACTGTGAGAACAGAATGCTGGACTAGATGGTCCACTGGCCTGATGCACAAGGTTCTTGCATACCCTCCAACATTTCTCAAATGAAAATAGGGAGGTCCCATTCAATAATAATAATACAGTGGTACCTCTGGATGCAAATGGGATCCGTTCCAAAGCCCTGTTCACATCCAGAGCAGAACACAACCTGCGTCTGCACGGGTTACGATTCACCGCTTTTGCGCATGCGCATGACATCATTTTGAGCATCTGAGCATGCGCGAGCGGCGAAACCTGGAAGTAACGCGTTCCGTTACTTCTAGGTTGCCTCAGAGCGCAACCCGAAAACGCTCAACCTGAAGCAACTTCAACCCGAGGTATGACTGTAATAATAATAATAATAATAGTAATAATAATAATTTTATTATTTATATCCTGCCCATTTGACTGGGTTGCCCCAGCCACTCTGGGCAGCTTCCACCTTATATGAAAACATAATAAAACATAAAACATCAAAAAAAATCCTCTCCTATACAGGGCTGTCTTCAGATGTCTTCCAAAATATTGTATAATTACTTATCTCCTTGGCTCGCAGGGGGCGTCGCACAACTCCATACCCTCCAACATTTCTCTGCTGAAAACAGGGACGTCCTAAGGAAAAGCAGGACATTTTGGGATCAAATCCGAAACCGGGGCGGCTTTTCTAAATCCGAGACTATCCCTGGAAAGTGGGGACAATTGGAGGGTCTCTTCTTGTGTTCAGAACTGGTGGTGCAAAATTCCGCAAGAGGGTATGTTTGTGTGTGTTTAGAACTGTCCAAAAGGTTTTCTGGGAATTTCCTGCCTTTTTACAAAAACCCGAAAACGTTTAGTAAGTGTCTGCTTTTTTCCAGTAGGCACTGCTTGTACATTTGTAAATAAAGCAACTACGGCCGAGCCTCCTGGTTTTACTCCTCCAAACGAAAGCAAAACTGGTGGTCGCAAAACTGGTGGAGTTTCTCCCCCTTGGGAGAGGAAGAGGAGAATATGTGCTGCCTTTGCAAGGAGAGGTTACGGGTGGCTTAATCGGAAAACCGGGGCCCGGAGCCAGCAGGGCTGATTTCAGCTCAGGGGATCGGCTCCTTCTCAGGGTCAGGTCAGAAGTTTCCATCGCTGGTAGGAGCAGCCAGGCTTTGTTTAAGGAGGCGAGCAGAGCGGAGGAGGCACTCTGCGGACATTAATCTTGTCAGGAGGAGAAAGGCAACTGCTCTCACCAAAACAAGCAGCTGATCATCCTTGCCTGGAGCAGTTTCTGGTGTGCAGGCCCAGCAGAGAACAGATTGAGGTTGAATCCTGACAAGACAGAAGTGCTGTTTTGAAGGGACAGGAGGCAGGCAGTTGTGGAGGACTCCCTGGTCCTGAATGGGGTAACTGTGCCCCTGAAGGACCAGGTGCGCAGCCTGGGAGTCATTTTGGACTCACCGCTGTCCATGGAGGCGCAGGTCAATTCTGTGTCCAGGGTGGCTATCTACCAGCTCCATCTGGTACACAGGGTGAGACCCTCCCTGCCCGCAGACTTTCTCGCCAGAGTGGTGCATGTTCTAGTTATCTCCCGCTTGGACTACTGCAATGCGCTCTATGTGGGGCTACCTTTGAAGGTGACCCGGAAACTGCAACTAATCCAGAATGCAGCAGCTAGACTGGTGACTGAGAGTGGCCGCCGAGACCACATAACACCGGTCTTGAAAGACCTGCATTGGCTCCCAGTACGTTTCCGAGCACAATTCAAAGTATTGGTGCTGATCTTTAAAGCCCTAAATGGCCTCGGTCCAGTAGACCTGAAGGAGCGTTTTCACGCCCATCGTTCAGCCCGAACACTGAGGTCCAGTGCCGAGGGCCTTCTGGCGGTTCCCTCGCTGCGAGAAGCCAAGTTACAGGGAACCAGGCAGAGGGCCTTCTTGGTAGTGGCACCCGCCCTGTGGAACAGCCTCCCACCAGATGTCAAAGAGACCAACAACTACCAGACTTTTAGAAGACATCTGAAGGCAGCCCCCTTTAGGGAAGCTTTTAATGTTTGATGCAGTGGTACCTTGGGTTACAGACACTTCAGGTTACAGACTCCGCTAACCCAGAAATAGTACCGGGGGTTAAGAACTTTGCTTCAGGATGAGAACAGAAATGGTGCTCCGGCAGCACGGCGGCAGCAGGAGGCCCCATTAGCTAAAGTGGTGCTTCAGGTTAAGAACAGTTTCGGGTTAAGAACAGACCTCTGGAACGAATTAAGTACTTAACCCGAGGTACCACTGTATTTTAATATTGTGCTGGAAGCCGCCCAAAGTGGCTGGGGAAACCCAGCCAGATGGGTGGGGTATAAATAATAAATTATTATTATTATTATTATTATTATTATTATTATTATTATTCCTAACTCCTGGTGGGCTGTGATGGTGCCCCGGCCTCAGTGAAGTCCCCAGGTTTGCCTGGCCCTCCAGGTTGCAGGTGATGGGCTCAAATCTCCAGAGATAAGAATCAACTATTAAGAAGTTTTGGCCTGGAATTTGGCTGCAAATTCTAGCATGGGCACTGAGTGTGGGTTCAGCAGCAGATAATTAAAACTATGGAACTCACTGATGCAGGAGGCAGTGACGGCCACCAACTTGGGTAGCCTTCCTTCCTCAGAGGTTTTACAGCAGAGGCTGTATACAGCAGAGGCTCATTTAAAGGAATGCTTTAAATGAGATTTCCTGCATTGCAGGGGGTGGACTGGATGACCTTTGGAGGGTCCCACCCAATGCTAGGATTCTGTGGTTCTGTGATTTCTGGCCCAAACAGAGACTTCTTTTTGGCCTGGCATGTGTGGATAGATCAGCTGGTGGTGCTGATAACGCCAAGGTTGCAGGTTCAATTCCCGAATGGAATCGTTGCATATTCCTGCATTTCGGGGGGGGGGAAGGTTTGGACTAGATGGTTTCAGGGGTCTCTTCCAGTTCTACGGGTCTGTGGTTCTGTCCCTGGGACAACCCCAGGCTAACTCTGTCGCCCGCTGGAGAGGGTTTCTGCAAACTGTCAAGCGTCTTGTTATTGTTGGAGAGGAACTGCAGCCTCAGTGCTTCTCTCCAACCAAACGCCGCCACCCCCAGCCTTGCAATGCAACAGATGTCTTCATGCACCCCAGGCACGGAAGGGCCCCTCATCCAAGAGATGCCTGGGCTGCTTCCCCCCAACCCCACTCGCTCTCCCCCCCCAAAGGAAAATATCCATGTTCTCATCCGGCTGTGGGAGGTGAGAAGGAGGGGGCGGTGGACCGGGAGGAGAGGAAAGGGGCACGGCTGCCTTGATGGAAAATTGGCAAGAAAAGTCAAGCAGAGTGGAAAGAGTGAGGTCTAGCCCAGAAAAATGCAGCGCCCAAAGGGAGCAAGTCAGGGGGGAGATAGCGGCAGGGCGGGTTAGGGGGGAGGCGAAGCGGATGTGACTGGGGTGGCTAACCTTTTTTGGCCTGAGGTCCGCAAGCCACCTTGGCCAAACTGCTGGGGGCCGCAAGCCAGCAACAGGTCTGATCCAAAGTGTGTGTGCTTGCATGTACAAACCAGTATAAAGTAAGCAGCACATAAGCGGCTCACAAAACACTACCAAACCATTCTACGTTCTAAATCTCATACAGTGGTACCTAGGGTTAAGTACTTAATTTGTTCCGGAGGTCCGTTCTGAACCTGAAATTGTTCTTAACCTGAAGCACAACTTTAGCTAATGGGGCCTCCTGCTGCCGCTGTGCTGCCGGAGCATGATTTCTGTTCTTATCCTGAAGCAAAGTTCTTAACCTGAG